CACAAAGAGGGCGTCTGGCTTCAAAACAAACGCTGCTTTCTTCATTTAAGAGATGCTAAAATAAAACAAAGAGGGTGAGCCCTTCTAGGTAGAACTGTAATTTTTAAATTTAGCAGAAAACTGTGCAAAGATGTAGCCTAACTCGAATGATGTCGCTCGCGGCAGAAACGTTACAGCGTAGTAAATTGTCCGTTACCTTTCAGCCGTCGTTAAGACTCCCGAGGAAACAAACAGTCGGCCTCTTTCTGCCCCGAAGACGACGCGAAACGCACTAAATATGCAGGCGAAGCCGTATATTTTACTGAACTAACAATAGAGCCGCGCGTTCAGCGGCGGGCGTCCCTCCTCGTGTCCTTCCCTTCACGTTTGAGCAGCGGCAGGAGGCGACGGGCTGCTCCCCTTAATGAAGGACGGACCCGAAGGGGAGGAGTGGCGGAGGAGTCCGGCTGCAGACTGAAGGCGAAGCGTGGCGGTCATAAAAGAAAACGCAGATTAAATCCCACCGCCGGCCCAATCAAAGGCGCGAGCCCCGGCGGTTATGCAAAGCAGGAGTGACGTGGTAGTCAAACCGTGTCCCTGTGTGAGCGCGTGACTTTAAAATTGGAAATCAAGGTGGTCCGGGAGGAATTCAGTAGTGCTGTGCGATGCTACAAATTTTGGTATCGATCCGATATCAAATAAATACAGGGCCAGTATTGCCAATACATAACAGTGTGTCATGACATATGACATGAGTCATAATCAACTGGCAAGTTGTGAACACGTTTTAAGACTACACACACACACACACACACACACACACACACACACACACACACACACACACACTTTTCAGGGTTGTTTTTGTTTTTTTGAGGGGGGTGGGCTGGAATTTAAATGTGCCTGTTTTTAAAGGACTTTATGTCAACCTCTTTTTAAATGTCCTATAGGGATAAATAAAATATATTCATGTTTGAGATACATTTTTTCATTTTTAATAAATAAATAACACCATTCAGTAGGCTATATACGGAACTTAGAGGAGAGAAACAAAGTATCGATCCTTTCACTCTAGTATCATCCACTACCAATACCAGTGTTGGTATTGATACTGTCAATATTTGGATCAATCTGCCCACCTCTAGAATTTAGCCCCTGCAAATTTGTGGCTTCAACAGCATTGCTTTGTCCTGCAGACACACACATCTTTTAAAACACAAGCACATGCTCTGACCAAGCTGAGATAACCTTGTCCTTTTTCCAATTTCATCCTCCCTAAGCCAGGATAACAAGATGGAGTATCTCCAGTTTGTAGATACGACCTAATCCTGCTGCTGCACAGAGTAAACAACAGGAACCATATCAGATTAAACTCCTCTTATAGGCCTTATGCACAGCATGCCTCTACCTTGTTTTATCATCTTTTCCCACAACTGTGGATAGAGAAAATCTTTTACCCCCAGATTTTTACTCATGAAGCTCCTCTGTGAAATATTAATCTTTTACTTTACTTTTTCCTATTCTCTTGTTGATTTTGCTTACATTTTTGTGTAATTTTCACCCTATTATTGCACGAGATAGGTGAAGAACAGAGTGCAGGCAGGTTGGATCGGGTGAAAATTAGTGTCAGGAGTGCTTCTGGCTGAAGAATAGCAGCAAGAGTGAAAGGGAAGGTTTACAAGATGATATCGAGACCTGCTATGAAGTACGGTTTGAAGATGGTAGTCCTGACACAAAGATGGGAGTAACTGGGAGTGAGCAGGATGGACAGGATTAGAAATGAGTAGATCAGAGGGACAGCTCAGGTCGAGCGCTTTGGACATGTACAGAAGAGGGAAAGCGGATATACTGGAGAAAGGATGTTGAACATGGAGCTGGAAAGCAGGAGGAAAAGAGGAAAACCTCAGGGAAGATTCAAGGATTTAGGGGAAGAGGACATCGATGTGACAGAGAAGGATGTGGGGATAGGGTGAGAAGGAAGGATACGAGCTGCTGTTGTTACTATGGGAGCAGCTTAAAGAAGGAGAAGAAGAATACAAGTTGTTTTTGTCCTTTTAAATTCAAGCTACAGTTCATTAGGAGCCAGCGGTGATTTATTCAACCAGGAGTTTTCCAAGAATCTCTGCTTCTCCGCGGGGACAACGCCACTGAAACTCTCTGCCTCAGATTCCTTCACCCACATGTTTGCGATCTGTACTTAAAACCAAAATTCCTGACAAAGAACTGCAAGAGCTGCACAACAGGTTTGGATAGTTATATCCAAAGAAAGCGAATAAGAGATTGAAATTGTTAATTATCTGTGCTCACACTTTGGTACAGTGTCCACCGCCCTATGGTACGAGCCCACAATAGGTTTTAGACGCATGCTTTTATTTTCTTATCACAATGAGACTTTGAGCTGCAGCTGCAGGCTCAGTGAAACACTGAAAAGACAGAAGGATACAAAGACGAGCAAAATGGGTTTGGACAGCTGACATCAGCTGTTGTTTTCTCTTATGAGCACGGAGAAAGAATGAGGTTATTTAAAAAGAGAGGCCGTGGGTAAAGAGAGAAATCTGAGTGAAGGGGAAGAATGAAGGTTTAGCAAAAAAAATCCTCAGCCTTGGACTCGCTGGTGTACAAGTTCTCACTACACTTCGATGGAGACTGAGAAACAGAGAGAGAGAGTGTGTGTGAATCACGTGTCTCTCCATCCCTGCTCCTTTCAGGACTCTGGCAGTTGTTTCATCAGCTGCCTGTCATCCTTTCCAGTCGGGAAGGGGCCCTGCGCCAGAGTGAGAGGGGAAAACCCAAAGCTCCTCCAAAAGTTTAACTAATTCTTATTTTAACTCGTTGCCTCCTCTGAAAGCCTACTAGAAGTAACCCTTGAAGCTCTTTTCTAAACTGAGTGCTTTCTGTCATAATTTCTGCCTCATTATGACACAAAACGACTGGGTATGCATCAGAGGTTAGGAAAGGTGATCTCTCTCTGCGCAGCTGCCCTTGGAAACTATTTTAATGGTCATCAAACCAAATCTTTACTGATCTGTACTGAGGTGTCAAAACTTGCCACGGGAGAGGTCGTTCAATGTTGTGTTTATGGAGGAAAGCGTTAAGGAGATTTATTCGCTTCCTGTTTTTTTTATGCAAACTGAAACCTAAAAACCGAAACGATTTTTAGTCTCCATCTTTTAGTTGCATGAACTGAAAACTAATGGAATCCATCATTATTTCACAGGACTGAAAAAAAGCTGTTATCCCCACACATCCTGCTCATCCATTTCAGATTGATCATAATGTTGTTACACAAGGGTGTGGCTCAGCGGTTAAAAAAAAATAAATCCTTAACAGAATTAGGATAGACTGAGAATTTGAAAGGCTTTAATGCACACACTGTCTTGTTTTTAAATCTGCTTCTTTGCTGTGGTCTTCACTCACCCATCTGCCCAAACACCTCACAGTAAGGACAGCTGCACACACAAAACAAAGCTCCCCCACACACAGAGACACACACGATGACACACCAAACGGAACTCAGGCGCTGATACAGATTGAGTGACACGGCGCGTAAGATGAGGGGGAAGGAGACGGTCCTCGCCGCTGCCACTGCTCCTGCTGCAGGCCTGCGTTTTTGATCTGGGATGCTTTGTTAATTTAAAAGCCTGTGAAGTTCAAACGGCGAGTCACAAATGAACAAGCGGCATCAAACTGGGATCAACAAAAGGACCACACCTGACAATAGCATACTGCTACAACTGAGACCATTAGAAGCTTTTGGAAAGACGATTTTCCCTCTGGGCTTTCACTGAACATCAAAGGTGCTGAGTGAAGTAGTCCTACACATTCACACACATCAAGTGGAAGAAAATAGTGACAGCCTCTAATCCAACAAGATGGATGGGCCATGTTTATGAGAGACATTACACTGTGGACCTTTCCTTCTGCCTTACACACTCCAACACGAGGCACCATCAGAGCGGTTGGCTACATAATGCATGATGATATTAGGTTAAGTGGGTGGAAGGCAAAGATGGGCTACATGAGCTGCTGCCAAAGCTTGCTTAGGACGCTCAGCAACCAGGAAATGAGCTCATGTGTTCTCTAACAAAAGAATTGCAATCTATCCTCTCTGGAAGATCTTTTTTAAGAATTACCCATCTTTTCATTTTCTTCCACTTATCGAATTCAGGGTCACAGTAAGGGTGGAGCCTATCCCCATATGATAGGCTGTCATAGGGTGAGAGCCAGTGTACCCCTTGGACAGATCATTAAAACCCATTTTTACTCCTTGGCTTATGACATAGTCTGAACCTGATTTTATTGTTTTAATCTAATGTGCTGACTTTATTGTTTTAAATGTAATTCTAATGATCATTTTATACTATTTTATTATTGTTTTTGCTATTTGTGCCAATTTTATTATTTTAAATGTCATTTTAATTATCATCTTATTTTTTAAAATATTTTTTCTTTATTTTATATTATTTATTTATTTTTTTTAACTTGTTCAATGTATCATTTCTGGCATGTCAAGTGTACAGCACTTTGTGCTGGGGGCTGATCTGAAAGTGCTATATAAATAAATTGCTTGCTTGCTTGCTTGCAGTCTATCACGGGGCTAACACACAGACATGAAACCATTGATTAGTTACTCGAAAGCTAATTTAAAGTCACCAATCAACCTAAAACACGAGTCTTTAGAACCTGGACAGAACATGCAAACTCCACATAGGACGTTTGCAGCCAGCTGGTGGATTTTAACCCCAGACTTTGTTTCTGTGAGGCAATGCAGTCTATTTTTGAAGACAGAACCATTAAGTTCCAAATTTGGATCAGTAAATTGTTCATACAAATCCATCAATAATTTTGGATAGAGGAGAAAACCACTGGGACTTCTCCATTCAGGAAGTTGGACCGAAGAGCCAGAACCATTATCAGTGACTTCTCACACCCTCCATCACAGACCGTTCCCACCACCTTCTGCAATAGCTTTCCCCCAGGGTCATCAGACTTCTGAAATCAAAACGAAGATACGCCACAACTCCACAGGTCATTTTTATTATTGCACTTTGTAGTATTTTTGCTGCTATACATTTAAATATAGTTCTTTTTTTGTTTGTTTTTTTTAAATCCTGTGTTGTACCAGTTGGAATGTTATTTTATCCCTTGTACACTTAGTGTGTATTTAATGACAATAAGATTGAAATCTAAGTGTAGCTTTTGAGTAATCTTGGTAAAAATGTCCACACACACACACACACACACACACACCACCCACACACACACACACCACACACACACACACACGATCATGCAAGGTTGCGTGAATCACCATCCCGACACATGAACTACTTCCTCCCTCTGCTGATGGTTAGGTGGAACAGCAGGAAACAGCTTGTTGACTTAGATCAGACCAGGAAAATTTAATCAGTAGTTTGACAAGTATGACAGGTCACACTACGTGTTGTCCCTCACAAGTACAGTTCAAGTGCAGGTAATTCATAAAAAACAAACACAACAACACAAAACAAAAACAAGATAAAAAAAACTCCAGGGAAACACAAGATGCAACATTTAAAGTTATCTATAATTTAGACATGTTGTCCATGGAAATCCAAAGTCCATCTGTATATTTAGCTTACAATTTACTCTGCTGGTGTTTCAGGCAGAAAATGAAAAGGCTGAAAAAAACATCTTATACTTCATTTACCTACTCCTCCCTGACCCATAGCTCCTCTCGCTAAATGGTATTTGGAGTCCAGACTTAAAAACTCCTTAAACTATTGTGCGTTTTTTTGCGATAAAAAGACAAACAAACATACATTATTCAAGTTTCTACTAAAGATCAAGTCAGTAGGCAGCAGTTAGAGACATCATTATGAAGGCAACAAACAACAAAAAAAAGCAGAGCAAGCCACTAAAACAGGACAATCTGTTGTTTTCTTTCTTGTCATCTCTCCCAAACCAGACTCCGCTTTACTTAGAGCTACTTATTGTGCTTAAAATAAGTCCGATCCAGTTTGCTAATGGTCATCAACGCAGTCTACAAACAGGGGTGCAGCACTTTTGATAGACCGAGTTTCTTTTTAATACTTCAGCTTCATTAAAATATAATGTGGGTCTGAAGAAGAAACTGCAGCCAAGGTCAGGCAAAAGCTAAGTGCTTTGTTAGTGAACGATTGCGTCCCATTACCCTGATCATTACTGAAAGAAAACGAAGCAATAAAAATGAAATAAACTGGGATCTACATTTGAAGGCAACATGATGCAGCACAGCCGCCGCTAATGACACTGGTCGAAACTTTCTAATAAATGTGCAGCTCACAAAGAAAATGAATCAATTCCACGCCGAACGCCCATCTGCGTTTCCTGATATGTTTTGGAACTCTGTAAAAACAATCACATGGGGGATTTTTTTGTCCTGTTCTGTTTAAATGTCATGTCATGATTCTCCAGCTAGCAAATTAGCTTTGGCTAATTTAAGAGATATTAGATTATTTAAATTTTTAAAACGAGTTCTGTACAATAAAATGTTGCTGAATATGATATAAATATCTAATTTTAAGAGTCTCCTCCTCAGGAGCCAACCGATTTGAAATACTTCAAAAGTAAAACAAACAAAAAACAAAACATAGACAGCACCAAAGAGTTCCTAGTCTGGGTGAGCATAAAATACACCAGATATATTAAAAAATACTGAATAATGTTTCAAAAAAACCCAACACACTAGAACCAAGAGAAATGTCTGTGCAATAGCCTTCTTCGATGCTGCTGTTCATACAGAGGAAAAGGCCCAGCTCTTCATCTGTTCCACGTTTCCTCTGCAGAGCGCAGTTCCAGCCAATCGCAACTCCCACTTTGGAACAGTCCTTTGGTTTGACCCAGATACACGGAGACACCGGGTGTTGGGTGGATGCAGTGTGCCCCACTGGTCAGCAGGGGAGGCTAGTGAGGTTTCAGAGATTGGTGAGGTTGATTTCAGTTCACCAGCAGGACATCTTCATACGTGGTTGTTCTGAGGGGAAAATAAGGTTTGATGACTTACTACAGTTAGGATGTTTAATATTATTATCTCTGTAATTACAGTTTCTTATGGTAATATTTACGGGACATATTTTAACAATTTTAACAAAAACAACACGATATTCACAGACGCATTTTTGACGTGATATGATGTAGAGTATTGTAAGAAAGCAACTTTCACCACAGCAGGAATGTTTGATTTAGCAGATTTTTGGTTTAAATATTTATTTTTACAGTGGTTGTCATTCCCAAAAACTCCAAAGGCATCCGTGTCTCTTCCCAGGACTGAACCTGAACCGGGTTAGGTTGCGTGTTAGGTGATTAGGTAAACCACTGCACTATGTTATTTTAAAAAAATCGAGCTGAAAACTGTATTATGTTTTTAAAATTAAGGATAAAATATTGGTGTGTTCATAATCATGTATGCAACTTTACGTCTTTTTCAGTGCTGATCATTTTAAGGATTTTAAGGACCTAAATATGCTCCCTCTGCTGGCCAAACTAAGCATTTCTTTTAATGTTAAATATGTGTTCAGGCTTTTTTATGTCTCTAATTTGTGCCTTCTTATCTTGTTCCTGAGCTATAACCTATGAAGCAAAGGTTTATTCGTTGTGGAAGTGTTCATCTATAAAAGGAGGCACAGCACAAACCTGAAACACACACATATCAGGAGGAGGACTCTTAAACATTTAACCCCCCATCCCTGGGACTAAGATCATAAAAAAACAGTAGTTGGGATTTAACAAAGTAACTACTGTTTGCACTTTGATTACCTCACCTCCTCTCTCTGTTCACATTGCATGGTTCTACTGAAGGTTTCTTCCTCTTAAAAGGGATTTTTCCTTCCCACTGTCGCCAAAGTGCTTGCTCATGGGGGGGGGGGGGGGGGGGGTGGTCATCTGGTTGTCGGGGTTTTCTCTGTATTATTTTAGTGTCTTTATCTTACCAATTAAAGCACCTTGAGGTGACTGTTGAGTAAATTTGGTGCTATATGAACAAAATTGATTTGAATATGTGTTTGGAAAGACTAAGACATGAGAACAGGATACCAGGAGAACTAGATGTAAATAGGACAAAGGATGTATAAAAGTGAGGAAAGAGAAAATGACCTGATTTCCTTCCAGTGTGCTTGGTCAGAGCCTGATAATTAACACCAGTATAAATGGTAGAGAAATATCGTCTTTCTCTCTCTTTTTCTCCTCATCAGCAGCCAAAAATGTAATCAACTTACTTTGCGACATAATTGTGAGGTTGATATTTTTGTGCTGTCAGCTTAAATTAGGGAGTCAGACTTCACAGGTTTTGTGGTTGTTTAATAAAGCCCGCTGTCGCATTTATCTGCTTTGGTCTTTAGAAATGTAGCATTATGTTAATTTAATGTATATGTTTAAGCTTTCAGGGGGGTCACAGGAGACTCACTCACCTGTCACAGCAGCAGAAGAAGGAGCAAGGTGAAGTCTCCAAACCTCTGAACTTCCCAGAATTCGGTGCATCTGTGCACTCTGCTATGAAGGCGTGCAGATCTGTTATGTGGATTGGTTCTTGGGTTTGATGCTGTGGAAATCAACAACAACAAAAAAGACACTACTGTTACTTTTCTGCTCTTTATTTGTAGTCCACAGTAAATACAGAAGCAACAGTTTGGATGCTACGGTGAGTTCTTTGTAATGCAGACTGAGTGATTCTACACATTGTAAATAAACGGATCCTTTTTATAGGCAGCGATTTCCTACCTTGATGGTCTCGTACGCTCCTGTGATGAGAGCGATGAACAGAGACAGCACCATGTAGATGAAGAGGGAGATGAAGGTGTACAGGTAAACCTGGCTAAACAGCCACACTAGAGGACTGGTCTCCTGCATCTCTGCGAACGTCACGAACATGTCGTCGCCGTTAATGAGGGAGAACAGACACTCGGACACCATGGACAGAGAGCGGAACTGTAAATATATATTTTAAAAAAGGTATTTTAATTATCAAAGTTAAGAGAAAAGGTCAAGTTTTTGAAAGCAGTTTAAAAGTCAGAATAAACTGTAGTTCATGTTTCTGTTCCACTGATTTACTCAGTGGACGGAGAAATGTCCGAAAGAAAGAAGGAAGTCCAAAACTGTTTAATTATCTTCTCTGTTACACAACTTAGATATTATTGCTGAATGGCATTTGTGTGGCCTACTAAAAATTTTTTTTTTTAAAATAGGCACGTTTTGTGTGTTCACATTTACTCATATACACCGATCAGACATAACGTCATGACCCCCTGCCTAAGATTGTGCTGTTCTCCTTTTTGCTGCCAAAACAGCCCTGACCTGGTAAGACACCACCAGACCCCAGCACATGTGCGCTGGTATCTGGCACCAAGATGTTAGCAGCAGATCCTTTAAGTTTTGAGGCGGAGCTTCCATGGATCAGACTTGTTTTTCCAGCAAATCCCACAGATGCTGGACTGGGTTGAGATAGGGGGAATTTGGAGGCCAAGCCAGCACCTCAAACTCATTCCTGAACCCTGTTTGCTTTGTGGCACCACCCAAGGTTTCCCAGCAGAACATTGCCCAAACATCACACTGCCTCCGTCAGCCTTGCCTTATTCTCATAGTGAGAATAAGGCAAAGGCAAACACCTGGCACATTTAAATCATGGTGCCAGGTGTTCCCCAGGTAAGTGACGCACACACACCCGGCCATCAACTAAATGTGAAAAAAAAGATGTCATTCACGAGACCAAGACACCTTCTTTCATTACAGTTTGCCATTTTTCCTGCTTCTACTGCATCAACATTCATATCCCACCCACTATCAGTTATTCACGTCACCTGTGAGTGGTCATAATGTTATCCCTGGTCGGTGCAAGTGAACTAAAACTTCGAAAGGAAAACTTAAAATTTCAAGGAGTGGAAACAAGTTTTTGACATTGAGTTTTTCCCACATTTAATTCACCTTGACATGGTATGGTCCCAGGACGATCCAGCCACAGAAGCAGTAGCCCAGATAGATGACAGCCACACAGCAGCAGAACCGAATAACATTGGGGAAAGCTGCTCGAAGTGTCACGATAAGGATCTGCAGCAGGGAGGTGCAGAAACACAACACAGATCAAATTACAGTGTGAGAGAGCCCAGAGACACTAAATTAAATGGCTTTCTACATTACATCAACCCACAGGAGGAACTTCTCACTTTCTCACAAGTTATTAAATCAGCAGCATGTAACAATGTTATCAGAAGCTGTGCACCAGCACATCTGCAACTTACATTGTACTTCTGGAAGAATGTGAGGTAGCGAATGACTCCCACCCACACTAAGAGAGTGGAGGTTCCCAATAGGATGGCACAGAGGTCATAGGAGGATATATTCTGTTGGGAAAAACCCAAAGGAATCGGCTTTTAAAAAAAGCTAAGACTACATGTACATGTTAATGTGTGTCAACGCTAAAACAAACCCCCCCAAAACTAAAGCTGATATTAGACCTTTGTCTCGATGCCGATTTTGATGAAACTGCCAGTGATTGTGAAGATGTCACTGATGATGAGGAGGATATACCAGCCGTTAATAAACTCAAGCCGGTCTCCCCAGCACACTTTACGATCTAGCGTCGTCTTAAAGAACTTCACAAACTCCTGCAGAGCAAAGAGAAAGAGAGATTAGCCATGTTTACACACATCAGTAGAATACAATATCGTCACTGACTTTTAGAATCGATTTGATTCCGATTCGCAAGGTCCCAAATCGATTCGAGCCACGATTTCGATTCGATTTAAATCGGAAAATTTTGCCTCAAACAGTCAGAAATATTATAATTCTGATCATTTATCAGTACTGACACTTCATCAGAGGTGTGAGCATCACAGCAGATGCGTTTGTGTCAAAGTAAGTGAGCAAAAAACACAGAAGAACATGAAGGAGATTTTCCTGGCCTGACTTTTTATAGCAGACAACTTTGAAAATATTCTGCAGTAGAGCAAAAACGGAAGAAAACCATGACTCAGTATATGAACCTGATGCTGCTGAAGTGAAGCAGAGCAAAGTTACACAGGTTTTGAACAGCAGAAATGAGGCTTTCTTGTCGGAAGTCATAAAAAAAACCCAAACCAAACAAAACAAAAAAAACCTAAACAGTGGCCGACAGTGCTGTACACAACGGTAGACTGTTGGGTAATAAGGAAGTGAAAAATGCAGAAAATTGAGCTTTTTAGATGGGAAACTGCTCTCAAATTAAACAGAGAGGGAGAGAGAGAGCTCTGTATGAATCGGAATCGTACGTGGCGCTGGGTGAGAAAGCCAACATCTCACGGATTCTGATGCGTTGGGTCCACGCTTTGTGTTCACATCTTTTTACGGAATCTGTTTACCTGCTCTCGTTTGCTATTTTAGCTGTTTGGTGGTTGTTGAAATAGTTTTGTGAGGTTTAACCTGAGATTCTGGCGTTTCTGGCAAAATATATTAATATTTAAAAATCGATTCAGGATTTTAATGAATCGATATGGTTTGTTATTAAAGCTAAAATCGATTTTAATCAATAAATCAATTACTGAAACTCATCCCTAATACAATATGGATCCCAGTCAGGCTACTATAAGCTTTCACAAAATTATTCAAGAAAAACATTTAAAGGTTAGAATGAGAACCTACTAGAGATGGCACGATACCACTTTTTCATGTCCAATACCGATATCATAAATTTGGATATCTGCCGATACCAATATGAATCCGATATAGTGTGTTTTTTAATCAATAAACCCGTTTTTTTTTTATATCTTGCTGCTTTTTGTATAAGTTCACACTCAAGTAAAAAAACCAACAAAAAAAAAACCAAAAAAAAACACTGAAGCTATTCTGTTATACCTGTATGCAAAAAATGCACTGCACGCAAAATATTTCATAGTTCAGCAATACTGATCAATCTAATAAACTTAAACCTGCACCATCCTCCCTATTCTGGTATTTTAAAGAGTAAGCAATAGGGGTGCAACGATACACAAAATTCACGGTTCAGTTCGATACTTTGGTGTTACGGTTCGATATTTTTTCGATACAAAAAAAAAAAAATGTTCATGCCTTTTTAATTTGTCATTTATTAAAATTATAAATATATATTTTAACTCAAAAGTACAGTTTTTAAATTTAATGTTGCTGAAACAAAAGTAATTAAAAAAAAGAAATATATCTCAGGGCTCTTAAAATTTCAAAATCCCTGGTAGCCCTTCGGGCAGGGACTCTTCAGTTTTTGGTAGCCCAAAATAAATGTAAGTAGCCCAAATAAAAAAAGAGAGCAATTTTTTGATTGATGTTTTGTTTCTTGTTTTGTTTCCTTTACAATATTATACATTAATGTATAATATTGTAAAGGAAACAAAACATTAATCAAAAAATTGTTGAAAAACAAATTACAACATTAACTCAAATACTTGGTTCTAATTGAACAGAAATTTCTATGAACTTGTAAGAACTGTGTAGAACATGAATCAGTCTGTGTCAGATCCTGAATTTCCACTGAAGCCACGGGTAAGAGGCAAGTGGAACCAAGATCGAGGCCATTTGCTTTTTGAAGTTTGCAAAGACTGCTAAATTTTGCCAGTGTTAGTTCACTCTTTGCAACATAGTACGCTGTTCTAAACAGGTTTTTCAGGTTTATTTTTAGTATGTTATTTGCAATTGGTGTTTGTTCTGGGAAAGATATTGCAGACTGAGCAATAATGCATTTCTTGCATTTCTCATGGGTTCTAATGGGGGCCTTTCTTAAAATGACTGGTCCCAGTAACAAAGGCGCTTGTCGACTCAGAAATCGAGAGAAAACCAACAACACACCCGGCAGAACATTATGTTATTTACACAGGTGCACATAAGTGGTCCGCATGTGCGCATTCGCTGTCAAAATAAAAGACGGGCACCAGATAAGAAGTTATGTGCAGCCCCGGTTATATAGCTCGTCATATCGCAGCCACAGAAATTCTTTTGTCCATGAAACCATAAAGCTGCACTTTCTTTTTGCCTTATAGTCTGATTTGTCATAACTTTACCGTTTTGTGGTAAGCTTTTCTTTGGCTGTCACTTCTTCACCCTGACCTGTCTTATTTGGCTCAGCAGAACTAAAATATATATCCTGCTGCTTTTACACACACACACACACACACACACACACACACACACACACACACACACACACACACACACACACACACACACACGCACATAACGGTCAGCGATTCTCTGCGCGATCAACCTCTCACATGTTTAAGCTGCGGGAGATTTCACTTGTAATGTTTGCATAGTAAGCTAAGATTGATAAGACGATGTCAGAGGAATTGGTGCACAAATTATCATCACTCACAGATCAGTGCTGTCGCTCTCTATACACAGTTCGCGCGATTGCAAAGTGAAAGCAAAAAAACAAGCGCAAATTCAAACGCGATTTCAATATGTCACATATTGACAGTGGCTCACCGATGCCAATGACATAATTACCCAGCTACATTTCCGAAAGAATGCAAAAGCATTGACATATATTTTTCCTTCCTACAATAGCCCGACGGGCAGGGCAGAGATAGATTTTGGTAGCCCGACTGGAAAAATCGCTAGCCACGGTACGTCGGGCTAGTGATTTTGCAAGCCCTATATCTGATTGAGGAATCACTCATCTTTGGAAAAGAGAGTTTATTACAGAGAAATGTCTCTTTCCAAAATAAAAGCTATACTATCCGCTTCTTCTGGGCTATATTCTCAGCAGCATATTGTAGCGGGTCAGGGCTGTTCGGGGTTCTGTTTGTACAGTTATGTTTTGTTTATGTTGCCATAGTGACGGGTGACGCCCTCTCGCTGCGACGGTGTGTCCTTCCGGGGTCAGAGGGCGCCCTGTGTGTTGTTGTTGTTGTTGCTGGGTGGTTGCCGCGCTGAGCAGTTAGCTAGCGGCAGTGTTCTTCTGCAGATTTCAATAAACGGCTGTGCTCCCTGGCTAGCTCACGGGAAGCAAGACCAAACGACACCTCCGTCTCCTCGTTGTCTGAGCTCGCCACATTGGTGTCAGAAGTGGGATGATGGTGGCACCCCATGTTCTGACCCGAGTGACTTTTCCCCCGCCGGTCGTGACCGGCCGGTGCGCCAAAAGAAGGCACCTGGACATTTGCAGGACTTTGTGTGGGGCAATGGGGTCGTCGGGGACGACTGACCCCTTAGGTGGGGGGCTATGTAGCGGGTCAGGGCTGTTCGGGGTTCTGTTTGTACAGTTATGTTTTGTTTATGTTGCCATAGTGACGGGTGACGCCTTCTCGCTGCGACGGTGTGTCCTTCCGGGGTCAGAGGGCGCCCTGTGTGTTGTTGATGTTGTTGCTGTGTGGTTGCCGCGCTGAGCAGTTAGCTAGCGGGAGTGTTCTTCTGCAGATGTGAGAGCGAGACCAAACGATACCTCCGTCTCCTCCTTGTCTGAGCTCGCCACAATATTAAACATATCAGGTCCCCATAAGGAAAATCATGTGCTAACGGCTGTCTAAATGACTCGGGTAAAGTTTGTAGCATGCTTGTTGTTTTTGTCTGCTTCCACTTGTCTTTGCACTAGGATGATGTCGGCGTAAATGTGCAGTCATATTCGTTGTGTTCCCACTAGTGCTGTCAGCGTTAATCTCGTTAACGCCACAACACGGCAAATCTCCGTTAACGAGCTACCCCTGCGTGGGGCTAGACGGCCAACACGTTAACGAGCTAACTGCGCTAACACACTAGTTCCCACCCATGTAATTGAGCATTGCATGGCACATCCGACATACTGTTTTACTTTAGTCCATGACGCGCTTACCTTCAGGGTCATACCTCACATGAAAACCAAAATAATTCCAAACGCCAGATCTGAATGAGGGTGGGGGAGGTTCAATTTGCCATGTTGCCAGGAGAGCTTAACTTCTGTCTCGCTAGCTTGCCCTGCGCTCTTCCTTCTGCTGTTTGTGTTGAGCGCTCAGTGGATCTGCGCTCCACAGTGCAGCCTAGGCGGAGTAGTCGAACGCAGATTCACTGAGCACTCAACACAGACAGCATCGTCAGAAGGAAAATTGATAAAATAAATTACAAATGTTGTATTGTTCGATACATATGCGTACCGAACCGAAAGCACTGTATCGAACGGTTCAATATCGATACGAGTATCGTTGCACCCCTAGTAAGCAACCTAACTAATAGGGCTCTAAAACTCCCAGCAAAAAATAAAAAATAAAAATAAAAATAAAAGAAATAGGGAACCACCCTCCACCTCATGATGCTTAATTGACATAATCAACTTTAATTTGATGCAGTGTGAAAAAAAAAATGCACAGAAATAAAATATTTTTCAAGAATAATTAAATAGATTCAACATCTTTCTTCAACAGAATTGCAGACTGCACAGCCTTCCCAAAGGAAAAGGTACTATAGCTTACTAGGGTATATTAGACTTAATAGTTACTATATACAGTAATGGACTTCTATATATTTTACATAAGATTAAAACTTTGGGTGTAAGATTCGGATAATTATTTATAAAAGCTAGACATTTTAAATGAGAATAAGAAAGAAAAGTATGTCTTTGTGCCCCATTTTCCCTGTTCATGCTCTATCGGCCCCCCTGGCTAAACTTTGCTAGATCCGCCCCTGCACAGTTACCAGCTGTCAGCTACGTAGAAAAGGATCCTGGTGTAGATCGTAAATAAATTCTAACAACAGCTGATCAAGCTTAAACGTGCTGCTGTTGTTCAGCCGCTGGTTTCCTCTTTCTGGCGCGAAGTGGGAAATAAACAAACAAGAGAGACGGACTCGCGACAGAAAAGCTGATCAGCTGATCATTAATCAGTTTCATGATTGAAGTAGCAGCAGGAGAGGGAGGAAGCGAGAAGAGACAGTCGCTCCATATATCGGTTGTAAAGCTTAACGCGGGGATGGTTTACAAACAGAGATGAACTTACACATTTGCTTTACTTCTCTCTGGGATAACTTCCTCGGAGATGAAATGCCGGATTGGTAGCGAGGCTACAAATACACACAGCCGCTCTATCGGGTGCTACAGTTATGAGCCAAGTTACGCCGTGTCGCAAGTTTTGTGAGGTGCTTTTTTGATATTTAATGGATCGGATTACATTTTTTATTTCTCTCCGATATCCGATCCAGTAATTTACGTCAGTATCGGACTGATACGTAATATCGGATCGGTCCATCTCTAGAACCTACTATTCACTACTAGTCTGACATTTCCTTAGAACCTGATGTTCCTCTAATGTGAGTGGCCCCAGGTGATAGTAAAGTTGTATTGGAGATTTTCTTTACCCATTGCAGCATGATGCCTCGTATTATGGAGCGTCCACACAGCACCAGCGACAGCATGCAGATCAGAACCACAATAATATCAAATGCCAAACGTGCGTACGTCTGAACTGGAGGTTAAAGAGGAGAAAAAAAAGATGTGAGCAGTCTGTCTCCTCTTCATGGCTGCAGTCTAAGCCTACTGCTACACACTTCTGTATAAATAACTTCACTCATTGTAACTTCCTGTTGGCTCATTATTGTGAACTAGAAACAACTTTGTGATATTTTGTAACACCTTTGCTTACATGTTTCTAGTTTCATCACTGGTATCATATTTTTCTTGCTGTACTACTTGCACAGTAGTCCCATGACCACTAATAGATGCTTCTTCTTTTCTGTTTTCTCACCTTGTCCAGAGATGCTCGGGTCTTTGCACTCCTTTATTGACGCCTGGTTATCTAGCCGGATCTTCACCTTGCCACTATGAGCCTTGTTGTCCAGAACTATCTGTAAAAGAGAGAAGAAGGTTTTAAATGACGCACACAGCTCGGCCTGCGAGCACAGCAGCTGTTTAAACCTGTTTGCGAGCGGCAGTCAACTGGAACTAAAGAGTAAACTTACACGGCTGGTTTCATAAATGGACTGCGCTGAGGCTGGTTTGTTTGTTTTCACTTTAACTCTTTCCCCCATATTCTACAACCTCCCCCTGTAGCTTCGATACCCTAAGTTATATCAGTAAAGACTTGGTTTGACAACCATTAGAATAGTTTCTGGGTTCTTCCAAGGGTAGATGTATGGGGAAAGACCACCCTCACTAAATTCTAATGCACAGCCTGTAATGTTTTTCTAGCCTTGACATATGACAGCTCAAGCATGTGTTGAGTCTGAAAGTCTTTAACTCACTGTTATATGAAAGGTGTAGCAGTCTGGGATCTCGTTGTTGATGATAGTCTGGATATTTATCGCCTTCAGCTGGAACTCTATGGTAACATTAATCAACCTGTTTTAAAAGAAAAAGAAAACAAACAAATGAACACAAAAACATCTAATTTCTAACAATGAAACCAAGGTGACTAAAAGAATGACCAGAGGCACACATGCAGGACAAGAAACACAACATGATTCATATCATATCTCTGTGGGTTTGAGTCGCTGTCCTTGTATACATGCTTGTGTTTGTTTGTTTGTCTATGTGTGCTGCAGAGGTATGTGATCATTAGATAATCTTGTCAACAAAGAGGAAACGAAGCCATGTGAAAAATGAAGCCGTACTTGTGGAACTTGAGTGTAAAGTTCTTGTAGTTGCTTGTGAGCGGACCCTGGGGGATCGTCATGGGGTTCACGCCAACACACTCTAAAGATTACAAACAAAGAAGAGAGAGGAATATCATGCTGAGAAACTACTGTCAAACTTGAATTTGCTTTCTTATTTTATATACAGGAAGCACAACATCATTTTTCAACTGCTAATCTTTTTTCTTAACGTTGATAAACTGAATAAAACAGACACTGGCATGAGGAAGTAAGAAACTCTTAGGCTGTGCAACAACTTCTGTAATAGGAACTATCGTTATGACACATGTTTGATGTAATACGTCAAGAAAAGCTGGTGACTGGTAGTCCCTTTAATACCCTCAATTTTAATCATTTATAGAAAGGAGGACAGCAATTTCAGACTTAACTGTATTGCTTTACAGCTTCCCCTGCTGATAAAGACCTCCTGTACACTGCACCAACCTACTTTGTTAGTCATTGTTTAAATGACAGAAAGTCATTGTTTAAATTACTTTCTGTTATTTAAACAATTAAATAACAGAAAAGTTCCTGTTTTTAAAAAAAAATCTACTATAGATTTCAGTTTTTATAGTTGGTCGACAAAGAATGTTTTCTGTAAATCAACAAAAAAAAAAATAGACTTTCTGTAATTTAACACTTTATTTCTTGAAACTGAATCCCAAAGAGTTAGCTGCATTGTCGACAAGATAAACAAATTCTGCTTTGGAGAGAGAAAGTTCTTTGCGTTGCATATTATTACATCCAAAATACGATTAGTTGAGCCTGTTATGATCTATTGACCAGTCATGACTTGACAAAAATGACAAGACATTAGTCATTTAACTTAATTATTTGAAATCTGTGGGGAATGTACTGCTCTGTAATACAGCTGCTCCTCTGAGTCAGACTTTTCCTTTTAAAGTGACAGAACACATTGTGATGCCCACCTCAGGCAACAAATGCAACTGGGGACTTTTTGCAAATAACCACACTCTGCTTGACCTCTAATATGTGTGAAATCCTGCCCCTAACCACTTTCCATAGAAGATTTTTTTTTTTTTAATCTGGTCTCTCTCTCTCTGTAGTAATCTCTGCATTTTTCTTGCATTGTTGTAAAGTGGGAGCCCAGATTTCATTTCTTTGAGTGTGTTTGACAAAATTCTCTGCTGAACTACTTGGTACACAAAGGCAAAAACTCTTCATATGCAACCCGCCACCAGTAAACGTGAACTGTCATTTTACAGAACCAACGTCTTGTCACATCGAGAAAAAAAATTTCACACATTAGCAGTCTGCAGAGGCGAGGACTCTGCAGACTGTACAGACTGTTCTTTTGTACAATGTAGTTCACGCTGCCTACCTTTGATGACACGGGGGTCTATGCTGAACGTGTCGTTGGCGGGGTCGATGTGTCCCTTCTTGTAGTACTGCTGGCAGAGAAAGAGGGCACTGCCATTCTCGGCACGGTCATAGACATATGCATAGCGTCCCACTGTGGTCTCTGGCAAGGCCAGATACTGGGAAAAAGGATGAGATTAGACTAATTCAGGATTATCACTGGGTTTTATGAAGTGAAGAGAATACAAGCTTCCATAGAAACAGGCCACACAGGTCTTAGCTTTCAGCTAATATCAGTACAATCAATACAAGAATGAAAGTCAAACACTTAACTTCGAGGGAATGGCGTTGCTGTCTGGAGTCAAATAAAACTGTCAGATTTTATGTTGTCAGCTTTCTACAGCTCACCAACTAAACTATGCACGTGCTGTATGTGTAGGCTCTGCCCTTTGTCTTCTAGTTATCAACCAAATAATGTAATGTCTTCACTGACCAACACCTTTTAGCCTCGTTCATACTATAGATTTATTTGACTGTGACATTGAAATAACGTGAAAGCACAGGCAGAGAAACAGGAAGTGAGCTGTATGTCAGACCCACTGTGTGCAGATCTAATCAGCGTTGCTGACATCCTTGACAGTGACTTATTTTGTAAACCATGGTAATAAAACTTCATGAGGCTTACTTTCATATTTATACAGTCAAATTTGGGTATATAAGACTGAATGTGTGGAACAGGTGAGCAGTGAATAGCACTGATGATCTATTGCAATGCAAAGTTTGGCTGGAGAATCTCAGATTCTGGTATTTAAATGGAGGACACTGTGACATGGACCACACACCCAAACATTCGTGCAGATCAGTTTCTAACTTCACTCAGTGTTTATCTATGGGAATAAAGCGAGTACAGTAGCAAACCATACTCACGCTACAATGATTCCCATAGACTTATAATTTAGCCCATGTTTGGGGAGAATGATGGAGACTTCAATAATATAAAGCAGAAAATTTTCATGCTGTGGCTAATCAGGAAATTCTGTTTAAAAAGTTGTTTAATAAAGATAAACGGTTACAAATTTCAGTTAAAAAAAAAAAAAAGATTATCACCTGATCCACGGCGTAGAAGATGTGGTCGTAGACGTCCTGCTGTGTGTAAACGGCAAAGGAGTCATCTGAGGACTCATCGTAGTCCTTGAGGAAGATGTGCTTGAAGGTCATAGTGTTCTCCTCCTTAAAGGTCACCACCACCTGGTTACTGAGGCCAAACAGCACCAACTGCAGCAAAAACAGGCACGGGGTATAGAGAATGATGTGAGGACGATAAGAAGCTGTGACAAAGAAAAAACCCTTATGTGGTGCGTTACTGTTACAGCCCCTAAACAGATAATGTTTCATATTTGATATTCAATTTGTGTGAATGTTGAAACTTCTACATCATCAGCGTGATTCCCATTAAAATGTACAGAACCAGAAATGTATCCAAATCAAGAGCACCCCCAAGTATAATATATGATGTACCTGAGTGGTGACAAAAAAAATTTTGGCTAGCTGCAGGATCAGTTTAAAAGGATAGCGCCCCTTGGCATGATATTTATCACAAGGGCTCATAAAGAAGTATTTTAGCTTCCTGCAAATCGCCTCCTCTTCCTCTCCAGCGTGGACCCAGTGACATCCTGCTGCTGTGGCAAACCGGTGGTGGTTACAGTTGTTGTCATGACTGCTAATTTGATAGTCATCCTCGCCACTGCTGTCTGTGGAGCCGTAGCGAGTCACCGGAGAGGGAAGTCTTTCCCGCTCTGATTGGGAAAAAAAAAATTTTTTTTTAATTTTTCTAAAATATATCTTTTTAAAAACACTCTTTAAATTGTCCAACAAGTTTACAATGAGACCCTGGTTGTTCAGTAAAAAATATTGTCCAATGTATCAGTAATTTACCAATAAACTGACCTGGTCTACTAATGCAACACGTTAGTTGATAATGGCGTAGAATATATGCAAGACTAGAACTGAAATCCAACATCTGAAGCAGACTTTGGTCCAATAGAACATGCTGGTTTTCATTATTCACATAACACAGCATTGTATCTGAGGACTGGTATTCATCAATGTTAAGAAAGGTAAACCCACATGTGCAGCGTTTTTCTCGAACTACTGGAAACTTCTGCTGAACTTACTTTAGTTTACTCACTCTTCATGCAGTTGTTTTTTTTATTCATTTTTGAAAACGCAGCTTGTTCCTCTCAGTCAGTAACACTTTGATAATCGCAAAAATCTTTGCATTTTATTGACTTTAATATAATCTATATCAGATGCTTATTTATAAGGATAACATGCCTTGTTGTGGTGAAATAAAAAGATGAACTTAACTGCTAAACTTAAATCACGATAAGCTAAAAAGGCAAAGATAAATTGTGGCAATGAAGTAATTATGCAAAACACAGAAATTCCTTTTTGTGCAATCAAGCAGTTGGGCTGCTTTCCTTGCAACCACGTGTTGCAAGGAAAGCAGCCGTCATGTGAATTGAGCAAATTTCACATATCTAAGTTTTTTTTCAGCTGAGACCAGTCATTTATGGGCTGACTGTGCATCCAAGCATGATTGGTAAATGACTGGTAAAAGGAAATTAGGAAATGAATGCATTTTCTGTTATTTCTGACTATTGAATAAAATGTCCATGCTTGAGTAAATGAAACTCCACTTAACAGCATTTTACAGTTACAATGTTGGTGACTGAAAAGAACCTCTAGGCCTAAAAGTCCTCTCTTCAGGAATAACACTGCAATCATTTCCTGGAATACGTGATTTAATCTTCCCCAGACTACTTCTAGAAACAGATTCCTGAACACACCACGGTTTTCTTGGAACCCATCATAGTCCTCATTGTGTCTAATACTTTCTCTTTATCTCAGATCTCATTATCTCAGTGAGGTCAGCTCTGCATCACACGATAGCTAACCTGTCCAACTCAGAGTCTATTCAGACTCATGTGAAAGAAGAAATGCTGCTCTCAATTAACCAACACGCTTTTAGTCTCTAACGTAGTTTTTTTTAAATGACGCCGATTCATTCACTCTGTTTAGGTTTATTGAGTAGTTTTACTTTCCACTTTTTCCTTCTTGAGAAAAAAATAGAAAAGTTTGTGAGAAAGTCTGAAACTCTATATTCCTGAAGAGACTGCTCTCCCAAAAGAGTCATAAGAGACCGTTGCAGATATCAAGTATCTGGTTTCTGCGATTGGTAAGAGATGATAAATCTGGCCCGACTTTGTTAGCCACGGCTAAGAACAGAGAAGTAAGGGCACACTGATTTTGACCTCGGCCCGATGATAAGGTGCTTTTGATATCAAATGCAAAACACACTGTGGTGTGATGTTTACATGTCATGGGTTTTTGCAGTTGAAATTACACAAACAAGATGTCAGGTTTAGTTTTTTCCTTCTATGACACTGGTTATATCAGATAAGTTACATAAAGAGACGTTATGACACTCATGAAATCCTTAATGTAAGTCTGATGGAGAGTTCTGGAACATCACAGATAGCAGCTGTTTCGCAAGCATATATCAATGACAGACAGGTACAGCTGTGTCAGGTTTTTCAGTCCTGTTGCCACAGGTGTCTAAAATCAAGCATCTACGCATGCAGTCTGTCTTTACAAACATTTGTGAAAGAAGGGGTGGCTCTAAAGAGCTCACTGAATTCGAGTGTGGTACTATAAAAGGATGCCACCACTGTAAGTCAGTTCACGGACTTCTTCCCACCTACATATTCCACAATTAACAGAAAGTGGTATTACTGCAAAGTGGAAGCATTGAGGAACTACAGCACCTCAGCCATGAAGTGGCAGACCACATGAAGTTACAGAGTGGGGTCACTGTGTGCAGAGGTGCATAGTGCGTAAATGTCACCAGCACACTCCTGACTCTGGCATTAACATCAGCAGAAAAACTGCGCCAGGAGCTTCATGGCATGGGTTTCCATGATCGAGCACTTCTTGTATCTAATATCAAATTTAGATAAATGCACTTTAAAAGAAAACCTTTTCTCTGATGAGCTGAGTGAAATGTGTGTTAATGTGCACGTGTGCAAATTAACAAAACCCCTGACTCTATCGGCACTTTGAACTGAGCCAGATGCTTTAAAAAAAAATGATAAAACTTCATCTGTTCACAGTAATCAGCAGCTTTTACATACTGCAGACAAACACACACAAGATAATTATACAATAAATATCAAATATAAAATGATACAAAGAACGTGTCCATATTAAGTGCATATGCACATATCAAAACTTTTGTTTTGCGAATGTCCATACAGATCAATTGTATTTCATTCTTTTAAATGTTTGAAATAAATCAATCCTATCCATTCATCCACAAGACAATATATCATGTTTTAACACTGCCTTTATAAAAAAACAAACAAAAAAAAAGCCCCACTCACACACTGTGACCCAATCACAGCTAATACTTGTCACATGTTTTTTGGTTCGCTTACCCTGCTTATTATAAAGAAAGGAACAAAGAACAGGGTCATTCAGTTTGTTCGCTTTATACTGAGGAAACAACACGGTGGCAATAAACCTAAAACTCTTTACGTAATCTGTTTACTGACCTTTAATCGACAGTTATGAGTTATTTCTCAAAATGATCACTTGCAAGATCACATACACGATTGAATTAGGGAGGCAAAACCTGTTAATCATTCTCGACGTGTCAGCAGAGCAAACTACCAGCTTAGCAGTGTCTCTTGCAAATGGGAAGTAAAACAGGAGAAGTAAACCCTGTTGTGTCCAGTATTAGTCAGCATTACCTGTAAGAAGAAAGTTCAGCGAAATAACTTTACACAGCAAAGTTTGGAGCTGGAATAACACCAGGTTTGTCGTGCAATATTCCTTCACTTTGTTTATAAGATTACCGTTCCTGAAAGGAAAAGCCTCTTTTTGCAAGTAATTACCCGTGACACAAAAGTAAACAAACAAGAAACCTCAAAAGGAGAGAACGGCTGTTAGTCTTACTTCTACTGACATGGATGCAGGCGGAAAGTTTTGACAGGTGATTGATGAATGGCTTCTTGGACTGTTAAAGGAGCAGTCCGCATGCTTTTGTTTCAAGTGACAAGCATATCTGAGATGTATTTAAATCAATGTCATAGTTTAAATGTCACAGTTTTGCTTTTTTATATCTAAGGTTGAGTAAAATACATTGCTTAATTTAGGAAATCAACAGTAAAAGGAGATTTTATGGAATCTGCATGTGGTAAACTGCAGTAAACCAAAGCCATATTTGTAGGGGTCACTTCCTGCTGTAACCAACACCTGCAGTTAACCTGTGAGAATTTTTGGCTGTAAAGTTAAATAAATAACACACCAATGAACATTTGGTGTTAGCACAGTATGATGGAAACAGTTTTTTAATTATCTCAGCTAGAAAGGAGGCCGGGCTTTGGTTGCGTGCCTCGGTGAGAGGAATGTGAAGCATCCAAAAGAATCCAACAACTTAACATTTTACGCAGACAACTGGGGCAGCATTCATTTATATCTATGATCGTAGGAGTGCATTGATTGACATGGCAGATAGCAATCAAACAAACAAAAGTGGGCGCAGGCCAATGACTAAGCCATCCCATTTGACACTTAAGAGACAGGATCTCAGATGCCGCAGAAATCTATAGAAATATCTGGCTCTTCTGGTTCACTGTCGCCTGTGGCACTCGCAGAAACACTGATAAAGTTGCCTTTCTATCAATCAAAAACTGGAAATCTCTCATATCAGTGTTTAGATCTAGTCTAGTTGTCCAAAGTAAAAGGCCACACACAGGCTAAGAATCAAACTCTTCCACTTATAAAAAAAAACTTAAAGGATAAATCTTAAATGAAAACAGAAAGACTGGCAGCTGTGTTCAGGGTTGTTTTGCACGTAGGAAGTGATCCATGAGTGAACTTAAATTGGTCTTTGTTCTGCAGCAATATGCTTAACTTTAGTCAAGTCAAGTTTATTTATGAAGCACATTTAAAAACAACCAAGGCTGACCAAAGTGCTGTACAATAAAATACAAATATAAAATACAATAAAACGCAAGTACATAAAACACCTCACTGATAAAACAATAAATTAAAACAATAAGTTAAACCTTGCTAAAAGCCAATGAGAAGAGGTGAGTTTTAAGAGCAGTTTTAAAAGTTCCTAGGCTTGTGGAGAATCTGATGTGAGGAGGTAAACTGTTCCACAGTCTGGGTGCAGCCACAGCAAAAGCCCTCTCTCCCCTAGTCTTTAATCTGTACCTGGGAACATCTAAAAGCATCAGGTCTGCTGACCTCAAAGATCTCCTGGGGCGGTAAATGCTAAGAAGCTCTGCCAGGTAAGGAGGTGCAGTACCGTTAAGAACCTTAAAAACCAGCAGTAAAATTTTTAAATCAATCCTAAAAGCAACTGGGAGCCAGTGGAGAGAGCAGAGGACCGGAGTGATGTGGTCTCTCTTTTTGGAACCGGTCAGCATGCGAGCAGCAGCGTTCTGCACCAGTTGGAGGCGATGCAAGAACAGCAAACAGAAAACAGGTGGAGTGACAGCGAGCCGAACATATTGGCGCCATCTTGTCAACTTTAAGCATTTGGTTAAGATTTTTTTCAGGTTTATCTTCTTTGGAAGTGAAAAAGCCTTGATAATGGTTTTATATGCTAATTTTTTTATATAGCCATCTCTCAAAGTTCTGTTACAAATATGTGAGAAACTAGAAGGTAAAGAAATACAAGTTAAAAACTCAACATCCATCCATTTTTCCTCTTTACAGGAATGTCATATGGGTGGATCGGTGGATAACCCCACGCTCTCACACCCACAATTACAGATACATTTAGGATCACAACCTAATAGGCATTCCTTTGTCCAGAACCCACACACACAGGAAAAGCATGCAAATGCCACAAAAAAAGGCTCCAGCAAGTCAGCAGGTTCAAATCCAGAACCTTCTTGCTGTGAGAGGACTATGGTAGTACTGCACCACGGTGCTGCCACTAAAAACAAGTTTAATGTCATTTTACTGCTTAGAAAAACTCAACAGTTTATCATAGTTCTAGAAATATTGTACACGAAGTCACGAAGATGTCTGATGTACAACCTGAAACTACAGTCTGTGCACATGAGTAACTTGTCACCAGCAAGGGGAGGGCGAAACAATCCTTAATTTTAAGTTATTGCTCATACATATTTTAGGAATATTTAACATGTGTCTCGTTGAGGTTCGTTGAGGTTTGTTGCTTACTGTAAGTTTTCAACACTGTCAGAAAGTCTCAAAAGGTTACTTCAGTTAAGTCAAATTTCTTCTCTTGAGGTCAAAAACAGACTTTCACTATCAGTTAGAAAATTCTCATCAGCATGTCTCACTGGAGCTGTACTTCATTTTATACACACTAATAATCCATCAGAAAACAGAGACTCAACCATGCATGTAAGTAGCTTATCAGACAGAGGCAGTGTGACTATGCATGAAAGACTTCGGATGCTGATTTCATAGGTTTGCTAAAAAGGGTGGTGGTCTTCATGGTTGTAGTGCAGGATTTGATCTGGGTTTGGGGAGACAGTCTTCATTACCATAGTAATACTTTTCCTTCACTGGAAATAACTTTATACACTGCTGTACATTTTAATCTATAAAAACAGTGCATCATTTATCAGCAGATTCATATTGGCTGCAAAATAGTCAGTAAATCAAGTTTTAAAACAAATGAAATTAAATGCTGTGCTCCCTTTAAACACTTTTGCAGTCCACACACAGCTTTCAAAAAGTAAAGTTTCAAAAGTACAAGAATGTACAAGAACACTACGACTGTCACCTTCTTATTCTGTTACTTCCAGTACTGATCCCCATACCCTTCCTATAATGTGAAGACAGTTATTGGAAGAAAGGTTTGCTTCACAGGTTAGCTTGAGACTATGATTAGAGGGACCACTATCACTGGCATTATTATGTTGAAAACTGCATATGGATGATATTTTATTGGAGGATTTCACAATAACTACTAATTAGTACCAAGGCATCTAATTTTATTATAATCTAGTAATTACAGTCTGGAATGCATGCAGTTGAAGGTATCAACATCATTAAAAACGAAAACAATGACATAACTACCAGAGTTTCAAGATTAACCAATAATCCCACCGTTCATACATCTTAGAGAAAGGACATTATAGGTTGAATCCACACGAGCTAAACTTATGACAAAATACAAAGATATTAAATGCAGTGTTGCAAAATTAATAAAAACAGCAGATCTTTCTCTTTGTGTCATAATGTGTTTTTTATTTGCATTTATTGGTTTTTAATGCTCTGCGTTAAAACAGCGCCCCGAACAACTTCTGTGTTAATCTTTTAGAGTTAAACATGCAGTATATCATGATATCATGTCCGAGTTGCATGTCTGATGGAGGAGCAAAAGAAGGAAAATCCCACTTTGTCAACAAGGATTCAAATATGTAGTCATGGAGCAAAAAAAAGAACTGATGTTAGCGGAACATTTGGACACAAAAACCACTTGATGACACTGAGTGCTGTACTTAGCAGCCCAGAAGATGACAGAGCAGAAAAACAGTTTCGTCTGAGGTTGCAATGTTACTCAGGTTTAAACTCATTACCTGTTAGCTTTTAAACACAAAAAAATCAGGTTGAAGCTAATTTACGCATCGCAAAGAGCCAGCAGCAGGGGAGTGTACTAGAAACCAAAGTAAACAAAACCACAGTCGTTACGGATAAGATAAATTATGTAGTTAAATGTTAGCGCTACATTACCAGAGGAGTCCTTCCGTCCTGTCGTAGCCATGTAGTTATCTGTTAAAATACATAAATAGGTGAAGAAAACGGTTAAACCTATCGCCAAGCGGGTGCTTTCTCGGGAGCTGTAACTGTTGATCACTGACGAGGTTAAAAACTAAAAGCGTTTCCGCTCTGTGCAGAGCACGTGACCTATATCAATTTTGACCACGTGACTCCTGCAGGAACCCTCTCGCGCTGACATTTTTAACAGTTTATATGGTTTTCTATTTTCTAATTCGTTTGACTATTTGCTTTCAGCTTAGTTTATTTCCGTTTCCAGAGTTTTCTTGTTTCAGGTTAATTTTTATTGTTTGATTATTTGTTTAAGTTTATTTCTTTTTTTCAAACCTCCCTCAGTATCTCACTATGGGAAGCGCCCACTGGCATGGCCAATCACGGAAGCTCAACAAGGAACACGTGGGTCCAGGACAGCCCAATCACTTCAGGGACATGGGGTCTGACCCGCTTATAATAACGTGACCAACCGTCCTCTTTTCCCAGGACATGTGCACTTTTCATGTTCTGTCCGGGACGTCCGGGGGGATTTTCGAGATTAATGAAAATGTCCGGGTTTTCCTACAGAGGACCCATATGTGTGACGTCATCCCCGAGGTGCTGCTTTGTGTTGTTGTTCTTCCCTTAAAAAAAAATGTTGTTCTGCCCTCACAGACGGGACAGACGGGGCGCAACAGCGCGCCTGGTGATGTTTCGAAAATGCCAAAGCGCAACTGCAGCTTTTCAGACGAACTGCAAAAGAAATTTCCTTCGTACCGTCCCGGTACTGATAATTTTTCTTATACAGATGAGGCCTTATTTCTGTACCATTATTTAATTCCAGAGGTTTTTAAGTTTTTTTGTCCTTGTTGACTTGTAAAAGCCTATATGACATTTTTGTTTCACCATCCATTAACCGCACAGAGAAGGCATCGCTTAAATATGTTAAATTTTTCTTTAAGCAAACAGTATTATTAAAGTACTTCATGACTGGGCCAAGTGTTCTCTTTTTTGGAAATCAAAATATGGTCACCCTAGCTTATAATAGCCCCGGCCCCACACCACCCCTTGAAGATCATAAAAGCTTTGTGCAGAACCTTGTGCACTAATTAATTAGACTAAACAATTATTTACTTTAGCTCAAGTTATTACGTTCGCTAAAAAGTTGGGATGCTGTGTAAGACATAAATAAACCTAAAATACAATGGTTTGTTCATTCTTTTGGAACATCCATTCTACTGTAATTATATATTTTCGTTGAGGAAATATATTGTTTTACTTTTATTAATATTAAATTATAATTATTAGTACTTTTAATGTTAGTTTTAGTCTTTCTTAAATTATCACACTATGGTATATATCAGAGAAAATATTTAGGAAAATCAGTATGGTTTAACTTTTAAAAGCTATTATTTTAAAATGTTCTTTGTGCACATCCAGTTTTGCTTTTTAGTTTAACTTTGATTAACCATAGCAACTTTGTTAGCTAATGTTTTTAAAAAAAAAAAAAAAATTTTTTTTTTAACTATTCAAAATCTACATCTACATCCTCAATAAAAAAATAAAATAAATAAATAAATACCCTTTCTGGACGGATTTAATTGCAATGAACCACGGAACAGCGCCAATGATGAATAGATGAACCAGCATTGCAAATAATGGACCATCAATGATGGTAGGAAAGAAGCTGCAGAACTGCATTTGTGGCTGGTCAAAACTAACAACTGACATGGGCCGTAAAATCCACCAAGGCAGGAAGAAGTGCCTCAGCGAGCTGAGAAAGGGGCCTCGCATTGACACATACTTTTTAAGAAGTAAGTCATATCAGTCGATGGAAGTTCAGAGGCAGGAGAATCCCCACAGTCCTCAGGGTATCAGCACCCCGTTCGAAGTTCTTTGTCGTACAGACTAGAGATGGCACGATACCACTTTTTTATGTCCGATACCGATACCGATATCATAAATTTGGATATCTGCCGATACCGATATGAATCCGATATAGTGTTTTTTAATCAACAAAACTGTTTTTATAAAATATCTTGCTGCATTTTGCAAGTCTGCAAGTTCATACTCAAGTTTAAAACAACAACTACACTAAAGCTATTCTGTTATACCTGTATACAAAAAAAATATTTCATAGTTCAGCAATACTGATCAATCTAATAAACTTAGACCTACACCATCCTCCCTATTCTGGTATTTTAAAGAGTACTTAGCGTAAATATTAAGCAACCTAACTAATAGGGTTCCAACTCCCAGCAACAACAAAAATAAATAAATAAAAAATAGGGAACCACCCCTCACGCGCCACCTCATGATGCTTAATCGACGTAATCAACCTTAATTTGATGCAGTGTGAAAAAAAATGCACAGAAATCAATTATTTTTCAAGAAATATTAAATAACATCTTTCTTCAACAAAATTGCAGACTGCACAGGTGGTACCTTCCCAAAGTAAAAAGTACTATAACTTACTAGGGTATATATATTAGACTTAATAGTCACTATGTACAGTAATTGACTTCTATTCATTTTACATCAAATTAAAACTTTGGGTGTCAGATAATTATTTATTAAAAGCTAGACATTTTAAATGAGAATAAGAAAGAAAAGTATGTCTTTGTGCCCCTTTTCCCAGTTAATGCCCTATCGGCCCCCCTGGCTAAACTTTGCTAGATCCGCCCCTGCACAGTTACCAGCCGTCAGCTACGTAGAAAAAGATCCTGGTGTAGAAATTAATATTAAATAAATTCTAACAACAGCTGATCAAGCTTAAACGTGCTGCTGTTGTTCAGCCGCTGGTTTCCTCTTTCTGGTGCAAAGTGGGCCAAAAACAAACAAGAGAGACAGACTCGCGACAGAAAAGCCGATCAGCTGATCATTAAGCAGTTTCACGATTGAAGTAGCAGCCAGAGAGAGAGAGGCAGTCACTTGTTAAGCTTAACGTGGGAATGCTTTACAAACATTCAGAGATGGACTTACACACTTGCTTTACTTCTCTCGGGATAACTTTGTCGGAGATGAAATGCCGGGTTGCCAGCGAAGCTCCAAATGCTATCCAGACCACCGACAGGTCCTGCATGCCACAGCTGCTCTATCACGTGATGCATACGTTCTGAGGTGAGTTACGGCGTGTTGCAAGTTTTATGAGGTGCTTTCGTGATATTTAATGGATCGGATTACATTTTTTATTTTTCTCCGATATCCGATCCAGTAATTTAGGTCAGTATCGGACCGATACCGATACGTAATATCGGATCGGTCCATCTCTAGTACAGACCCTCTCATAGTCTCCAGATTGGAGCTCAGTCAGATCCAGCCAGTAGCAGTTCCCAGTCTAGAGCTTAGTCAGCCACACCCAATATTAGATTCTAGCCCAGGACCCGGCCATTTAATATCAGCCCCTAGGTTGGAGGTTAGCCACCAACAGCTAGCAACACATTTTGTACATATTGTACATATATTTATTAGTTTCAGATGTAGCCATTCTTGTATTTTGCTTGTTTACATTATTGTATTTTGCACAACTCTGTTGCTTGTGAAGCTCGCACACAAGAATTTCACTCACATGTGCTGTACCAATGTACCTGCACATGTGATGTGACAATAAAAGTGATTTGATTTGTGTACAGATGTAAGCCAGCCATAATCAACACCATGTTCCAGCCCAGAGCTCATCCAGAAACAACCAACAGAATCTTCCAACACTGAGTCTAGCCAACCACTACCAGCAAGGGAAAGGAAGATAGAAGGTAGGAAAGATCAGATTCTGTGGCCCAGAGCCAATGAATAACCAGTTAAAGTCCAGGAGACTGTGGGAAATTGACAGATTAGTGAAAGAGAGAAGACAACTGAGGAAACAGTGGAGGAGGGCCTTTTCTACAGCAACCCATACATCTTTGTTATGGGCCTTTTTGTTGAAGAGAAGAGCGGGTGCCTTAAAAATGCCCATTAAAGACCTGGAAGATCATCCGAGAAAAACTTACTCTGAGGATCCAAGGCACGAGCCAGTTACCATTCCGAGTAATATGCCTCCTATCCAGGCACCTGGACACAAAATGGTCAAAGACCACCTACATGGAGTGAAGTAGAGAAGGTAGTGAAGCAGGCAAGAGCAGCATCGGCTCCAGGACCTAATGGCATCTCATATAGGCTCTATAAAAACACCCCCACGAGTCCTCAAATACCTGTGGAAGCATGCCAGCGTCATTTGGCACCAGATTCAAACTGCCAAGAAAGAACAAAGAGACCTTGACGTGGTCTTTTTAGACCTTGCCAACGCCTTTGGGTCAGTTCCGCACGAGATCTTGTGGATGACCTTCAACTATTTCAGCGTACCAAACCACATCACAGGACTGGTCAAGACCTACTTTCAAGATTTACAGTTTTGTGTGACAGCTGAGAACACCACCACAGCCTGGCAGCACCTGGGAATTGGGGTTATGGCAGGCTGCACGATTTCCCCTCTGGCATATATTATGGCAATGGAGTTGGTCATGCAGGCATATTGGTGGGTAGTGGGAGGTGAGAGAGACTCAAGAGTGGCCTTCGTCTTCCTCCCATTAGAGCCTACATGGATGACATGACCATCATTACAACAACAAAACCATGTACTAGGCGATTGCTACAGAAGCTCCAGGAAAACATCGAATGGACAAGAATGGAGTTTAAGCCAAGTAAATCTCGCAGCATCTCCATCATAAAACGAAAACTGACAGCCGAGCAATTCTATTTCAGTGGAGAACCAATTCCAACAGTCTGAGAGAGCCCATAAAGAGCCTGGGACGGTGGTATAATGCAGACCTCAATGATTCGTGGCAACTAGAACAACTAAGGCAGAAAATGGCTAATGACCTCAAGCGGATTAAAAACGCTGCACTCCCAGGGAAACTGAAGCTTTGGTGCTTCCAGTTTGGGTTATTACCCAGACTACTGTGGCCGTTGACAATGTATGAGGTCTCACTCAATCATGCCAATCGACTAGAGTGGCTAGTGAGCTCCTACGTTAAGAATTGGCTCAGACTTCCCAAATGCCTCAGCAGCGTTGGACTCTATAGCGACGGGATATTGTCATCGCCGATCAGAGGACAGGCACAACAGCAGGCTATTAGAGAATTAGCTAACACTGCTAAGAGGACCAGTCACTGGCTATGGTTAAAAAGGGCTAACATCACTTGGGCAGCTAAGGCAGTCAGCTAACCGCACGAGAAGAAAATATTCCGCTCTTCTTCCCTTTTCTGGGAGGCAGTGGGGAGGTAGAGCGTACAGCCCGATACGGCGGGGACTTGGGAGGTCTCGGAAGTCAGATTGGGTGCCCCCCTTCCGGCTCTCCTCTCTTCTCCCTTTTGTCTTACTTCTCTTTATCACCTTTTCTATCCCTTTGAAGAAGTGAGGCTCCATAAATGCTAAAGAGGTAATAATTATTTTTTTTGGATGCAGTGAATAGATAGGAGAAAATAAACTGTAGAAAACTAAACAGAAGAAAGAAGAGGAGAAATGAAATAACAATTTGACATAAACCAGTGACACACTCCAGGGCCTGATCCACCCTGGCAGGGCCTCCTTGGATGAGGGTGTCTTGTGATGATGGCCAAAACACCCGATGAATCCAAGGTCCACTACTGACGATGTGTACCAAATCTTAATATGATAATCTAGATCAGATCTCTAATCCCCAAAAATGGCAGATTAGCTTGGGTAAAAGACCGAAAGTTGAGGCACACAACGATGTGTGCTGCCGGTAGTTTGTGGGCTGCCTTTCCTCATAACAGCCATCCCTCAAGATTCTCTCCATTTAAAGCAATGCAATATCAGGGACTATAACATCTAGTCCTTTTACTGAATAAGGGAAAAAAGTTACAACATAAATGCATAGTCACCTGTAAATGAATTATAGTAGTAAGTACAGTTTAGTTTTGAGACCAAGAACGGTCCAAAGTGATTTACAGAGGTACATGGTTTTTAAATGAGTAAATAAATGAAACGTTTCTCATACCAAAGGTAAAGTGGACATATATATGTGCTTGTCTGAACAGATGAGTTTAAAGTACTTTTACAGGATATTGTATAATCTGAGGTCCAAAGAGATAAAAAAAAAAAAAAAAAAAAAAAAAAAAGGCTTATAAGTAAAAGGAAAATAGAGATGGGACTATTTCCATAAGGTCTTGGGGGCAGCTTTCAAGGCAACAGTCCTGAGTTTAACAGTATTTCTTAAATGGAAAACAAGAGTGGTTCAAAGAGTTGATGTGAGCATCAAAACACTGGTGAAAAAAAAAAAAAAAAAAAAAAAGAGCATGATGAAAAAGATTCCATTAATAAGCTTTTATGATTGACGAAAGGGACTCCAATCCCTGTCTGATTTGGGCAGTAACACTCTCGTTAGCGATAATTAGACAAAGCCTTGTCCGCAAAAAAAGTGAACATGTGAAAATTAACTGAATGCAGTACAAATTTAATTTGTTTTAATAAGGATTACTGGCTAAAAAAGGGCCACCCTCGGCACCTGACTCTACCATTTACCACCTTCCGTGCTGTGGAAATTCTTTTATCCCGTTCTAACTTTCAGTTGTACTTTTGTCATGCTGGCATGTTTGCGATCATCAAATTTTTAAAAATTTAATATAACAAATATAACCCAATTAAATACGATTTTTTTTTAATTATTACATTTTGTGACGAACATGTGACGAATATGCAAAAAAAAAAAAAAAAAAAAAAAAAAAAAAAAAAAAAGAGAAATGAGGAGAAATGAAGAAGGAAATGGGTCAATGCTTTTTTCACAGCACAGCATTTACTTTCATATTTGTGAGTTTAAGAAACAAGAGCAGTGCTTTTATTTTCTTTCTGAGACAAATGACTCACTGCCCCTCCCTGGTTTACCAATACTGAATTTTCTAGTTTCTGGTGAAACCACCACAGTTTCTTTTATAAATACCAAAAAGTAAAAAATAAAAAAAAGACAGAAAAAAAACATCCATTCCCAAACATTTTCTTATACATTTACTTATATTTTATAATAACAAAATGCATGTACAAACATTATTTAGCATAAACACATGCTAACCGCAAAGCCGCTGCCTCACCTCTTGAATAGGTCGAGGTAGCAGCATTGCGGTGACCCTGCAGTACAAACATGTGGACACCTGTGCTGACATCAGGCCTGCCAACACAGATTCAGTCACTAACTTTAGCTAATATGAGGAAATGGGACATTTTCTATCAGCTGTTTGGTTTGGGAGCTGCTGATGTCGGTCTACATTGTGCGGTAAAACAAAACCCCTTTTTTAAGAGCACTAGAGCAACAAAGGCTTTAAATAAAGAGCTTGTAGTGTTTTGTTTACATTCTGAACTCCTCCCAAATCTCAACCTCCACTGAAAGGCTGTAAAGTCATGTTCTTCACAGCTTTGTTAATCCTGCTTCTCTAACATAAAGAACTCGTTTTATAGTTGAACGTGAATTTTAATACCACTTGAATCCTGAGAATCCATAATGACGACAAGTCTCCAGCCATTTATCCAACTCCCTCCTATCTTCCTTCCAGTACTTTGTCTCTAGCGATGACAGCCTCATCGAACTTTATCATGAGCGTGGTGCCCTTGTGCCAGTGGACGGTGACCTTGGCAGGGAAGCCGCTGTGGGTGAGAATGGCCTCTATGATCCCTCCCGTGAAGGCCGCGCAGTTTAAGGTGCTGTTCTCCTTGGGAACAGAGATGTAGGTGTTGACGAGGGGCTCCTTCTCTATGATGTAGTAAGTCTTGTCATCGTCGTTGGCTTGCTCAAGCTTGTCTGCTTCCTTACCAAAGAGTGCTCTCCACACAGATACCTGAGAAGGACAAAGAAAATGACAGGATGACAGGGGATGCACAAAACATGTGCAATCCAAAAAAAATTACTTTATTTGCTTTGGGAGAAAGTGTGCAAAGTGACAGGCAATGACTTTTTTCTGCAGCTAAAGGTAGAGGCATAACAAAGATAACACAACTGAGATAAAAATTTAAAAGAAAATGGCAAAATTAGTCATTTAAATAGTGCCAAGATCTATTTTACCTTTGTTTATGCAAAAACTAATGTAATTTCCATGTGTCTGTTACGCAACATGGGACAGACAGTGATGAACAGTTTTAATCTTTCAGAGCTCTAACATGCAGTCATCTCATGAGCAATTAAAATTCAGCACTGAGCCTGAACTAAGCAAATTAATGAATATATTTACATATGAACTCAAACGATCACCTGGTGTAACATTATGATATCCCTCATCTCAGACTGGAGTTTTAGGTTTTGCTGAATCAGCAAACACAAAGACAGTCTGCAAACAGTCAGCAAAAGATGCAAACTCAGCAGCCTGCAACAAGTGCTTTAAGCTGATACTGTGCAAAGGAGGTAACACCTCGAATCTGACGACGAACCTGGCGACGCATAGCGTTTTTTTTAAAAGCTGAGAAATGCGTCGTATTTGATAGCTTGTTGTGAGACCTCACATCGAGTACATCTACTGCGGGAAGTGGTGCCTCGGACCCGGAGTTAGCAAGAACCCGAAGAGTAGAGTCCTGGCCCCTAGCCCTGCCAGTGTAGCAGAAATGATGACGGATGATGATGGCAGCAGCAGCTGTTCTTCTCTGCGTGAGTAGCTTAATGTTGTTCGTGTGTAATTTACATTGTGTAGGCTAACCACGTTATTAAATTAATGCATGTAAGGTGAACTAGCAAACACCGTCGTAGTTACATGCGGCTGTCTCCTTTTTGATGGCAGATACTCCCTTCACCCTGGCCAAAAAGGCTAAAATGACCAAAGAAAAAGTGGAAAACAGCTAAACATGAGAGGTTTTTGGACAAAGTTTGTGTTTTTTTCATTGTTTAAGCACTGCTTCCAGCCAAGAGTGATACCATATATGCCCTATAGCTGCAGAAAAGGCTAACATTGTTATCTTTTTACAAAAAAAAGCCCCAGCTAAACATGAGAGGTTTTTGGACAAAGTTTGTGTTCTTGATTCTTTAAGCACCGGCACAGTTTCAAAAGTACCGGTTTGGCACTGGAATCGGATAAAACCTAAATGACACCCATCCCTACTGCTGATGTTCTGCATTCACAGCAAGTATTATGTGGAGCTGTATTTACACTAATATATGCTTGATTTTAATATTCATCATTGCAAAGTTATTATTAGTTAGTGAGGAAGATCTTTGTGAGCGGTCTGAATGAAATCCTGACACACACACAGTATACCTTGATGAACAGCAGTATGTTTAGCACTTTGGTCTCCCTCTTGCCGTTTTTCTCCCTCAGCACTAGCACGTCCAGTAGGCTGCCTCCCACTCGCTGCCCCAGCTCCGCTAGGCGAGCCTGCAGCTCGGACACCGAGTACACACGGCTCTGGCAGTACTGCACCACCTCTGAGAAGAGCAGGGTGAAGGCGCTCACGCTCACCTCGGTTTTCGGCCGGCTCAAAGGCCTCTCGAGAATAGCTGACTTGCCTCTGGTGAAGCGAGCCTCCATTATGATTTAACGGACAGCTGTAAGAGGAAACACCGAGGAGATTATTATTGTTAGTGAGGCTGCAACTAACTACAGGCTAACTGCTAATGCTAACCAAGGTGCTACAGGCACGCGAGAAACACAAATATGACATTTACGAAAATTATTCAGTTATTAAAATTAGTATCTTTCAACTCAGCTTTCTTTAAGACTATAATCAACACTCACCCGATCACTTCCTACACCTGAGTTGTTAAGGTTTGAGTACTTCCTGTTTATTAAAAACGTAACTTGTCACATGACCTCACCGATCGATTCACAGCTACGGAGTCCACGAAGTCCACGAGGGATTTATTTATTGCTTTTCGGCGGGGTAGCTAGCTAATTTGACTGCAAAGTGTGTGTGTGTGTGACTTGTAGTCAATCAAAATTAGAAAGTTAATTCAAGATTTTGGTTTAACAAACCTAAATGTACATGAATGAATGAATGAATGAATGCTTTATTGGCCATATGCAGGTTGCCCCACAGAGGAATAGGACCCCCCCCGACTTACACACACAACAACAAGACAACACAAGGGAATACAGTCGGAGACCGGCAGCGTTGGGAGAATAACACTGAAAAAATTACACAACATTGGGAAAAGTACAAGAGGAAAAAAAGAGACCTCTTCACACGCTGGGCAACCTATGGGAGGACAGCATGAGAACAGGAAACAAAAAAACTCCTCTGCACAGAGAGCACATTAATGTCCACATCACAACATCAGAGCACATGACAAGCCACAGGGGATGGATAGGTGGGTGGGGGGTGATTCGAAGGAACACAGCAGTCGTCCTGCACCATGCTATCATTTCAGCGCGGCACGCAGACCCGCTGCCTTCCCCCGCAGGAACAAGCATCGAAGGCGTTAGGAAGGGAGGGGGATGAGTGCGTGCTTATCAGTGTAAGTGTATGTGTGTGTGTGTCCATAGTTCAGCTGAGACAGTGTCCTTCGCTGTATCAGGCTAAGTAAACAGTCCTCCAGCCGATCCAGGTGTCCTTCATGGGATGGGAAGAATAGTCATCACACAGTCGTTATCAGGGAGTTGTTTTGGTGGGCTCCAGCCTTGGGCCTAGCAGCTGGCGCCGTGGTGTCCAAATGTTGAATATTGTTGATTTCTCCTTTATGCGAGCAGCGAGCAACATGATTGTATGAATAACCATACAATACAAACCAAATCAGCTTGTGTTGTTTTTTGCCACCAAGTCCACGTCTACTTGTTTGTTCATGTGACTAAGCTGTTTCCCGGCACAGGTGAGCACATATCAGACGTACATATTACAGGGGACTGTAAACATTAACCATAACTGACTTTATCCCTCGCTTCTATTGTTTTTGTCCAGGCATATACAAAGGAAACTGCATGAAGTAAAAAAAAAAGTGAAACATAAATAATATAATAATAATAATAATAATAATAATAATAATAAAATAAATTTGTGATGAAAGCTGAAATAAATGGAAGAGAAATTTTGCTCTTTGATGTGCTGTAGGTTAAATCAATATTTGGGGCCATCTGTGTACAGAGAGTACTCTTCCCTCTGAGACAGAGCACTGCTGTCATGCACGTACACCTACTTAAATACACCTAGACAAGTGAGGGAGCCCCACACATTTTGGATTATTGCAGAGATTCTTTCAATTTCACTGTTTAGGTTAATTTGTTTTGCAAGAATAAAAATAAAACAATAAAACGATTTAAGAAGCACTAACCGGGAGATGCAGAATGGCTTTCTGTGGACTCACATTTTTTCTTCTGACTTTATTTTACCTTGTTACTGTCTACAGCAGGCCGACAGGTAAGCGCAGTTATTTAAAACATGCAAGCATTCAGTTATCTTGCATTAGAATTTCCATTACAGGCCACAGTGTACCTGCTTGGCATGTTGATAAGGAATATTTTCTCTTTGGGCAACCTGATGTGTTTTGACTCACTTGTTCCTTGTTATCTGTAATCGGGAATTTTCTCTCTTTCCTTTCTTTCTCAAACTAAAAAAAAAAGCTTTCCCTCTTTCTTTAAGTATTGGGTTATTAACTGATCAATTAGAAAGGCTATTCAACTGTTCCCAAAATATAGGTCTTAAAAGAGTAAGACAAAGACATATACTGTATTTGGTAGCACAAACTCAGTATACTATGGAAGTGTGTCTAATGCCTGATCTTAAATGTACATTGCTTCAGCTGTATGTTTGAGCTCCTCCACTCATTCTCTCAGTGTTGGTATAGTTCTTTCCCATCTGTATAGCATTTGAGGAAGTCATGCTAGTTATAGGGCAACAACCTCTTGTCGTGCTATCAGTTTCCACCTTCTTTAATCCCCAGTTCATAACTTAGCTGATGTGAACTCTATATCACTTCAGACAGACTCTAATGCCTGTAAATTGCATAAGCTGTTAAGACAGATAAACGAATGGTTTGCTAAACCGGCTTTACACTAATATTGAGCAAGGACCACTGTTTCATTCTGAAGTAACTGAACATTTCATTCACTGAGGGATTAATGCACTTTTCTCGGCTTGTGTTGTTGTCAGGCGTCCACCTGCGTAACATGGAAGGCTTTATTCAAGCCGTGCAGCAGGTTGAACACTCCAACCCTGGTCTGCCCCCGCTGGCTCTGGTCAGGGCCTTGCGGAGGACTGCAGGCCATGATGACGTGATGACCATCCATTTCTTGGGCGCTTCCAATAATCTCAGCGATGCTGACCTCCTGGAGACGGCCATTCTCAACACCTCATCCTTCAGCTTTTTTGATAAGGCCATCCACCACATTGTGACGGACCATGGAGAAGAACGAGGGGTGGTTCTCACAAGAGATGGAACTACGGTGGCGCTTGTACCCTTATTACTAGGAATTGAATCAGGACTGAACGCCAAGATGGAAGAGGTGGCAGCAGCTGGGATCTTCCCTCTCACCTTCGGCAGGACACTGGGCTTATCATTTCTCAGCCTCCAGGACTTCCCACCATCTCACCGTTTGGGGCCTGACGGGTGCTGGGACAACGTGGAGCACCCCAGGGTGTTCAAACTGTCTCAGCCTGCCACTCTAGCCACCGATGCCATGATCAATGGGGGCATGGATGGCCTTATACTGGGCACAGACCTCAGCAATTTAACTGCATCTGAACAGCCACAGGCCCTCAGTGAGATTCTGAGAGGATACTACAATTTTACTCTGAGTGAGGGGCAGGGCATGGATGCTGTGAGCAGTCAGATTAGCCCAAGGAGGAGGGAGCTCTCTAGATCCATCCTAGAGTCTGTTGATCTTCACAGCCAGGTGATGGAGACACTAGCGTTGGTCTGGAAACTGGAGAAGACAGAATGGATTTCTATGGACACTGGGGTGGGAAAGGCGGTGAAAGATGGATTGGAGACGTTTGTCAAGAAGTACTGGGGTGAGCTATGAATGAAGACATTTAATCATTCTTTTGTGCAAGAGTCTAGTGAACCTGGATGTTTTCATCAAACTTTGCAGTTAAAATAATCAGAATTTAATTTTTGTTTATGAGACAAATATTTTTGATAAGGATCTAAAGAGGATAACGTCACACTAGGTTAAACAGTAATCTCACCATGAACTCGTAAAAACCTTGTAAATTCAAACATATTTTTTACTTAACTATCTTTAACTTCAGTTAACATTTGTGTATTTTGGCTGCCGGCCAGTCGAAAAAAACTCAATTTGAAGTGAAAGCCAGCACTGAAATAGTGCAAGGCTTTTACCAACATTATTATGAAACTCATTATGAAGTTTTTAACTGCAATTGCATGTTGTGATCACTATGCCCGTGGAGACTGGATTAAATCCACCGTTAAATAGTTAGGCCTCATAGAGGAAGAGGTATTTCTTTTATAGTATTTTTTTAGTTTTCAGTCATCTTGGTCCTGTGATCCATTGATACTTTATACTTTAAAGGCTCAACTTTAAAATGAATAAAAAGACACAAACCATTCAATTTTTTAGTCATGGAAGCTCAAGTTCATTCTGGAAATGTTAACATTCAACATTTCAGTCCATTTACAAAACAGACTGAAAGAAGTATGTTTCAGTTTTTCCACATTCAGTCAAATGTTATTACAAAGGAATTCGTCCATGCTTGGCTTAGCTGCCTTGCTTCTGGTGTGGGAAATGTAAGTTCTGTAAGTTTGCAAATTATTCAGACTTTTGGCTCTGATAAAATTAAGTGTGTGGACAACAATTTCATGAGATTATTCTAAAGGACTTACTGCACAGTCCTTCCTGGTGCAAACATTATGCCATCCTCTTTCTAAGCAAATTTCACTTTTGAAAATGTCCCACATTTGTCAGAACAGTTCTGGCAGGTCTCTGCTATATTCATAATCTATAAACTGTAATCAGTTTTTCAAACATCACTCCCACGTTTCGGATGTTTCAAAGGTCAAAGCTCCATTTCCAAAAAACTGCACCAACCACAAGCAGTCATCTGGTAAAAACACTGACAGATTTTAGACCTTAAAGAAAGATGTTGTGTGCACTACACTGGGCTTAAACAGTTGGAAAAACAAGCTTGTTTAAGTAATAAGCTCATTGATGCTGGACAAACTGAGTCATTATTTCCGAGCTGTCACAAAGACCTTTTTTTAGACACTAGCCCATATGTTCTGTTGCAGCCTATCAAGGTCTGGAGTGTTATTACTTTCCTAATCCTCACCTTGTCTCCTCCTACCCACAGACTGCCCTCAAATCATCCCTCGCTGTCAGTGGGGGGCAAAGCCCCACCGAGGTACACCTATCCCGCTCTCTCTTCCCCTCCAGTATCTGTACATTCATCATACTTATGAGCCATCATCACCCTGCTTATCCTTCCCAAGCTGTTCTCGTGACATGAGGTCCATGCAGCGTTTCCACCAGGAGGACCGTGGGTGGGCTGACATCGGATACAGGTAACAAAACTTTAAAGGAATCATTGGAAATCTAGGGAAATGTATTTTTACACGTTGTTGCAGTGTTTGTTAGTTGTATACAACAGATGTATACAACTGTCACTGCCTCAAAATATGGATCTGCTGTAGACAGGTGCTGCCTACTCTTTAGCGACCTTTGAAACTAATCACTATAGTTTGCCTTTCCTGTAAAAATGTCAAATTCTGGTCATATTCTGTCAAAAATAATTCTTCTAATTGAACAAATTCTTGTTTTTATACTTTTATTTTTGTAAATTGTAAGATTTACAGGTGCTTGAAGTGGTAGGAAATGAACATGGGAGTGGTGATTCGGAAAAAAAAAAAAAAACTACAACAGAAAATTCCTAAAATGCCAAAACATTCATTTAAGTAGCCATATTTCATATCTATGTTATTAGCGGGAGAATTTTCAGGAATGCTGTTAAAACGCTGTATTGCTGAAAATTCATCACATATGCTGGAATAAATTCTCAGCATTTCGCTCTATTTGTCTGCAGACTAGGAACCATCCACCTCATCCATTGATCACCTGCTCTCATATTTTTGCACTTTCAGCTTTGTGGTTGGGTCTGACGGCTACGTTTATGAGGGTAGGGGTTGGCATCATCTCGGCACTCACACCAGGGGACACAATGCCATTGGGTATGGCGTGTCAATCATCGGTAACTACACTGCCACCCTGCCATCTCGCTATGCCATGGACCTGCTACGTCATCGACTTGTCCAATGTGCTTTACACGGAGGAGGACTGGTTTCCAATTTCATCATCCATGGCCACAGACAGGTGGTGAACTACACCGCCTGCCCTGGAGACGCCTTCTTTTCAGAAATAAGAACCTGGGAGCATTTCAGCGAATAAGAGGACAGGCAGCATTCTGTCATCAAAGGTTCATCACTACTTTTGGAAATGTCTTATACTCTGGATCATTCTATCTTATTAATGTAGAGGTCACATTTAAAATTTGCATAGTTCAGTGCAGAAAGAAATGAATTCTGCTTAGATCCAGCATACAAAGTGGTACCATGATGTACTATACCTATTAATCAGCTGGTCAGTATGTTTATCCACCCAATTATCAATCAAATGAATGTTATTTATCAGTCCTCTGGGTGATATATGGGTGGATAAACAGTCTTAATTATCAGTACTCATGGTGTGGCCAGTAAGTGTCCTACTGTTCCTACTCGCAGGCTCAGATGGGAGGTTTCAACAGGCAAATAACATTCAAAACTGATGGCTTGCATTTGTTTTCAGGCCGAGCTTCACATTACGATCCATTCCAAATAATGCTAAATACAAATGTTGCTTTGTACGCAATGCTTCGTATTAACTACTCAAGTACTGCTTGCCGATACCTTAAAACTCGAGAAAAATATATGCTATTCATTTGTAAATGTAGTTACAAATAAAAATTAGTGCACTCAAAAGCAACAGTTCAAGAGAATAAGATTTCTCTTTCTTTCAGGAAAAACCAATAAGGAACAAACACTCGTTACTGAGGATGATGATAAAATACACCTTTGCTACATATTAGTGCTATGAGTACATGTCTGATCATGTTATTGTTAATTGTCTGAAAGTAAAAAAAAAATGTCTTCACAAAACAAAATTTTCCATTCTGTTTGAATTTTGCAGGAAGCGGACACACTAAAGAGAGACGAACAAAGAGACGGTCGAATAGTGTTTAATGTGACTGCGTATTAAAAATGTCAGTTTTGTTCTATTGTAACGCAGATACTGAAGCAGTCGCGCCAGAATGTAATACAAAAGAGGATGGTTCTTGAATACAAGGAGGGAGCAAGCCAGTCAGAAACCCAAGGCACAGAGATGGTGGGAGGTCTGATCAGAAACAGTTCATTTCCAGGCCAGGAAGCAGAAAATAATAATAATAATAATAATAATAATAATAATAATAATAATAATAATAATAATAATAATAACAATAATAATAACAATAACAACAACAACAACAACAACAACAACAACAACTCTTAAAAATGTATGTAATAAAATATTGTCAGTATACCAAAATCCCCATGAAGACTAAAAACAATTCTAAAACCCGTAAAAATACAATTTTCTACATTCATAAGAATCCCCTGATGTAATTATGCCACACGTTCATTATGGGTCCACCAGCAGGCCAGGAATTTCTTCTCCAGAGCGGAGTCCATGCCAGCCTCGTCTCAGGCAGACGAGGAGGAACCTCTCATCCTCCTCTTGTCCCTTCACTGGGCCCATCACATCCCATCCCAGCTCGCGTTCTGCACCCGAATCCGTCATGCGATGCCACCACGGCTCCCCTCGTGTCAGTGCCCTGTAAATAAATAGGGGCCAGAACAATGGTCCCGGAAGCTGCCCTGACTTATATGCATGGCGACCCTCACCCAACACGACTGCACCCAATGAACGACAGTGTAGACACTACTCACAAATGCAGGTAGAGGTACACCTCTGCCCTGCTGCCAAAAACACGTGTTGTCTCCTACTGTTGCCGTTCCTTGCTGTCAGGACTGGGTCGCCACGTCACACTGATTAGGTGTCGCACCCCCACGATCAGGCAGCGGGTCCCTCTTTTCACGTGGCCTTCGCACATTCCTCCTCATTTCGGGGGCCTCTCTCCTCATAGTGCTCCACTAGCCTGCTTTTAATTGGTCTTTAAACAGCTGATAGGCCACCTCTGGACACACCCATGCCTCAGCAGGTGATCCCTATCAACTAATATATCCCATGCTCTGCCACGCCACGGTGGATTAAAACCATGTCAAATAAAACACTAAAAACCATGCAATAGAAACAGAATAAAACCATGCAAGTAAAAATTACACTCATAAATAAACACTAAAAATCAGAATAAAATCAATATAGAAGATAAATACAAATTTCCACTGTGTGACACTATTACAGCTGTAACGGTCAGGATGTGCTGTGTGGCAGGACCCAAGTGCAGGACCCAAAAGAAGGAAGATTACCCGAAAGTGCAGCTTAGTTTTCTGTGGGAAACACAGAAAACAAAAGACGAAGTATAGTGACTAGAACTGACAAACCAGGGACTCGGGGAACTGGAAAACAAGAAACCAAAAAACTAGGTGCTACAGAGACTGGGAAGACAGGCAAAATGAGGCTACAACACGACACAGAGCAAGAAAAACACAGGGCTTAAATACACACTGGAGTACTCAGAGACTGGGGGACAGGAGGGTAACACAGCTGGGAGAAATCAGACTTAACAAGACAAGGGAAGCAAAACCAGAAACACTGACATGAGACATGGACTTTTAAAGTAAAACAGGAAGCACACAACAGGCACAGAGACAAACTGGACAGAACAGAGGGAGCTTAAAATACAAAAAACCAAAACACTGGTAGTAATAAACCAAGATGAAACCAAAGATTGATCATAATAATAATAATAATGAAACAAACCAAAACACTGGGTCACTGACCCAGGACACTGACAGTAACACTCGTGGGTGTCTCTTTTTCTTTTTTGATTCAGAATGACTAGTTTATGGCCCAAAACTGTAGATTTGTGCTGCATGTTTAACATTTTTAATGAATGCTATTCCATTAAGAGGTCATAGACCTCAGTCAAAATGTCATTGGTAAATTAATTTCTGTATTTATTGAAATTACGTTAATGAAATCGATGTCTATTGTGTGTTTCTTTGGAAAAAGAAAGAAAGAAAAGAAAACACAGGTGTAAAAATCTATGCAACTTGATTTCAACAGGTCACTCACTTTTGCTGGGACCAACAGAATCCCATGAGCATGTTTTCTCATGCTTCTGCACTTTAAACTGACCCATTTCTCCTCATGCTGACGATAAATAACCTGATCTGACAGATTGTTTACTGTGTAAAGTCCATCATATGAACGCTGCAAAAAGCTTTCCAGAGGAAAACACTAAAGTAGCTATGGCTTCACAGTGCAGCTGTTGAGACAGTGAACCCAGAGAGACATCAGCACCAACAGCTCGCCAGTCTGTGTGACAGGAGAAAGCTTTTGATAAAGATTATGCAACAAAACAGTCTCATCAGCCACACCTGGGCCTGATTACTGCAAGACCTGTTCAATGAAAAAATCATGGAAATAGAAGCTGTCTGACTATGTAAAGTAGGCGAAAGGATCTGAAAGAGCAACACATCATGCCACAATCTAGAGAAACTCAAACCAGATGAGAAACAAAGTTGTAACCAGTCTGGAAAGAGTTACAAAGTTATTTCTAGGTCATCGGGACTCCAGCAAACCACAGTGAGAGCTATTATCCACAAATGGAAAAACCTTACAGCAGAGATGAATCATTAGTTATTATTAAGCTCTGCCTGTCTTCAACAGCATGCCTTTTGTCCCGTCTTCCTCTCCTCACCCCCAGCCAGTCGTGGCAGACGTCTGCCCCTCCCTGAAGCTGGTTCTGCCGGAGGTTTCTTCCTATTAAAAGGGAGTTTCTACTTCCTACGGTTGCCAAGTGTTTGTTTAAAGGGGGCCATTTCATTGTTGGGATCTTGGAGTGACTGTTTTTGTGATTTGGTGCTATATAAATAAAATATAAAATTTAATCAAATTAATATCTGTTTAATATTAACATTTGTTTGATTAGTGGAAATGCGTCTCGCCCTAAGACAGCTGGGATAGGCTCCAGCTTCCATCCGTGACCCTGACAAGGATAAGTGGAAGAGAATGAACGGATGGATGGATAGTGAAAATGTGTAAACAAAATTTAGGAATGGACTGTATGTGGTGTCAAATTCAAAGACAGACTTGGAGTCCTAGTGTGACTCATTGAACCATTAAGAATTTATCAAAGAGTATCAGCAGCCCTGAAACACGTCAGCTGTTGTTTAAACATGTTTCTGTTTCATTCTTTCGTGGTTACTCTGTAGAAGACATCAGCACCATCTACAGGTTTAAGCCAATTAGTGCATCTGAGAAAACCATAAAACAACGAATTATGTACAGTATTAAAAAAAATAACTAAACATAATTATGTGTATAGATTGGATTAATCCGGGGCGTTGTTCAGGGGCTTTTACAGGTTATTGGATATGTTCAGTTAAGTGTTTTTTGTTTGGAGCACTTCTTATCGTCATTTTACATTCATCCCATTTAATTCTGAGACACTGAAAACATCTCTGTCCTGTCGCAAGGACCTTGGTGGATTTTATAGCCAATATCTGCTTTCCTTACTGGTGCAGTAGTTTTACTGGAACTTGTACATGCAGCACACTTCTATATTTCTGTCTGCAGGAGGGATAGCAGCAGCACATAAACACGACACAAATGAGGGTGTTGGCAGAGCTCATTATGCTGTATCACTAATTAAGAGTTGTGTAACAGTAATAAAAGGTTTTTAATTGCAGTGGTGCTAAGGTGGCATCTGGGTTGTGATCATTTATTTGACACAGAAGCTGCTCCACTGCTATTAGAGTGAGAGGTGTAATTAAATCCTGTAGTTTTGCCAGTCTGTGTCAAAGTTCTGTTTCTGTGTGCTGTAGAGGAGAAAACCAAAGTCCATCCACACATAGACCTTGGACTTCTGTGCTCACATGGGCAGACAACGTTCTCTGTTTGGGGGCTGGGAGTTTCTAAATAAGTAAGAGTTTTAATACTGAACTTCCTTCACCAGCCAAACAAACAAATATTACTAATATTAGTATTAGTATACCTCAAACTACTTATACTAGGAAAAAAACTGAACAAAACAAATTATAAAAACTAAACAAAAAATACCACATGTATCAAATATGCTAAGTAACCTTGAGGTGTAATGATTACATTTACATAAGATAAATCTAGCTTTAAATAAATGTGCACATAATATCACACATTAATGAATTACAGGTAAGAGTACAGCCAAAGCCGCAGTAATACATTTGATCAGTACAGCTAGCACAGTATATTCCCTTGCAAAAACACAGTTTAACCAGAGGGTGGCGCTGCACAGCCAGAGATCATATTAGTGAGTTTTATATCGCTAACCCTTCTCTTTGAGCTCAGGGAGACATGAAAGCTGAGGTTTTGGACCCGGGCTTTGAGTTTTTGGAAGTTTATGAATCATTTTGTTTTGAGTGAGTCATATAGCACTTTATAATAATGTCACACTATTAAGCATTAGTAAGTTATTAATAAGCAGTTAATTGAGCATTTATAAAGTTTTATAAGCTTTTTGTGAGTGTGTTGATAAAGGTTTCATTAATAGTCATTTCATATTGTAATTCATGGTTAATTCAGGCAGTTACAAGTGAATTAAGTATTTTGCGTGAGCTCATGTCAAATGAGGACTATTTATGCTTTATAAAGCATTTATTAACAAAAATAAAAGTAGCTCGAGACTCCAGCAGGTCTCAGATATCTTTATAACAGAAAAAGATTGTTTGGCTAGCTGACAATATGGATAAGATGACTTCTTTTAGATTTCAGAAATGCATTAGAACTACACACTCTGTTAGTCGTATTTACTTTTATAGGAATATTTTTGTATTTTGTTTAGATTCATTTTCCTTCTTCTTTATAAATATGCTCTGAGATGTCAGATAGTCAAGATGGCGCCTGTGTGTGTGGCTCGCCGTCAGCTGTTACCTGTTTTTGTTTTTTGTTTTTTATGTTTGTAGTTCAGTAAAAGCAAGTGAAAACTGCAGGCTTTTGTTATTTGACCCGTTTAAATTCATTTTAATATCCCAGACAGGATTAAGGTAGAGTTTTTTTAATATATATTTTATAATTTATGTGGCTATAATACATGTGTAATATTCATTTCACCCATTTAGTAATAAAAATCAATTGAAAAACATATTTAACACAACTTTATGTGGTTAAAAAAAAGTAATAACAAAGCCAATATAACATAACGCGATAGTTAAAATCCTCATAGATCAGCGGTCCCCAACCTTTTCTGCACCACGGACCGGTTTA